CCAAACTGAGAGATGATCTCCTTTAGAAGGCATCTGGCCACCTCCTGGGCCTTCTCAGTGGCCACCCATCCTGAGAAGGTACAGACAAACACCAATAGACACTTGCATCCTTGAGCTCGTGGCATTTCAGTAAAGACCACAATCAAGCTTTCAAGAGGAGTTCCACCAATGCTCTGCACCTGAGGTGGCACCCTTGGTCCTTGCTGGGAATTGTTTTTGACACACAGGGTACATCTTTCCCACACTGCCCTACTTATGCTGGAGAACTTGGGGACATAGAAGTGGTCCAGGGTGGTCTTGAGGGTTGTTCACCCTGAATGGGCTCCTCTGTGGAATTGCTTGACAAACATGGGAGCCAGTGACTCAGGGATGGAGATGTGACCATGGGCAAACTTCCACCATCCGTCCAGTAGAAAGCGTCCCTTCTCAGTCTTGAACCAGGCTGTTCTTGTGGTGTGTACCATGGGTCCCTTTCAACTACGGGACACAGGAACAAAGCAGCTGTCAGGGCAGTTGGGGCCAGTCCCCCTGTGAGGGCTGCCTGTTTGGCCTCTCTGTCGTTTCTCTGGTTTCTTTGAGTGATTATTACATCTCCCTTTGGTGCCCTCGGCCATGTATAACTACCACCCAATTAGGTGCCCATACAGCATCTAGCAGTTCAAGGATCTTTTGCCCATACTTGATACTTTTTCCTCCTGAGTTAATGAGTCCCCTCTCTTTATATAAGGCCCCATGGACATGAATTGTTGTGAAGGCATATTTAGAGTCAGTGTAGATGTTTACCCATACTCCTGCAGTGAGCTGAGTGCCTGTGTGAGTGCGACAAGTTCAGCCTTTTGTGCAGAAGTCCCAACCAGAAGTGGGCAGGCTTCAGTAACTGAGTCCAGAGTTACCACCACATACCCGGCAAAGCACTTGCTGTCCCAGATAAAGCTGCTCCCATTTGTGAAATATTCAATGTCTGGATGGCCGATAGGCTGATTGGTTAGATCCTGCCAACTTGAGAAAACTTCATCCATAATGTCTAAGCAGTCATGTTCCAGGGGGCCTGAGTCAACAAGCAATAGGGTGACCAGGTTTAGAGTCTTAACAACCTCCAGCTGGATGTATGGATTTTCACATAGTATATCCTGGTATTTGACCATCCTAGAGTTGGCTGATTTCTCTTATATTCCAATATGAGAGTCAGGACGGAGTTGGGAACTCAGTGAATTCTTGCCTTAGGGTAAGCTTGACTGCTTCTGCCACTAGGTCAGCAGTGGCTGCCAGGGCATGCAAGTGAGATGGCCAGCCTTGGGAAACGGCATTGAGTTGTTTTGACAAGTAAGCTACTGGACAATGTCAGGAGCCTAGTAGCTAAGTCAGGACCCCAACAGCTGTCCCCTTTCACTTATAGACATACAAGAAAAAGGTCTTTGTCTCATCTGGCAGGTCCAGAGCAGGGGCATTTGTGAGTGTCCTCTTGATTTCTCTAAAGGCTTTCCCTTGTTCTTCTCTCCATACCAAGGGTTCCCAATCCCCATGCCCCCTTTGTGGCTTCATAGAGGGGATTACCCCAGAGGGAGTAGTTAGGGATCCAGAATCGGCAGAAACCCACAGCTCCCAAAGCTCTGATTTGCCAGCAGGTTTTGGGGGCTAGAATGGAAAGGCAACTTGTCTCCTCTCGGGGCCGAGCCGGCATTGCCTCTATGACAAGTGAAAGCCAAGGTATTTGACTGTGTTTTGGCAAATCTGGGCCTTCTTCTGAGAAACTTTGTACCCTGCCTCCCATAAAAGAGGAGACGAGTCCCTTCCATACAGTTGGTCCAGCCAGCAGGAAGTCATCCACGTATTGGAGGAGTGCACAGCCATGCTGGTCAGCTGAGAAAGCTTTGAGGTTGGATGCCAAGGCAGTTCTAAAGATAGTGAGGGAATTTTTGAAACCTTACTTCATGGCTCCCAAGATTGCATTGTCTAGACACTAAGAAGTGGTGGCAGGCCCAGTTTCCTGTAGTCCCAATAACAGATGCATGCTTTTGTGAAATGGGGTCCACTGATTGGATCACAACTTAGTGTTCTGCGCCCATGTCAACCATGAGGTCAACAGGATGGCTCCCATCCTCATTCGGAGTATAGGCTCTTGGGAGCCTAGTAAAATGGAGCCCAGTCTGTTGTATTCATCCTCATAGCCTTCCAGGGCTGCTAGTCCAACAGTGTTTTCCTCCCAGGGGCTGATACTTTCCCTTGACAACTTGGCATCTGCCTCTGGTCTGGGGAGCCTTCTGGGAGTTCCTGGCCTGCTGAGGGCATTCATTCTTCCAGTGCCCATCTTGGCGACAGTAGGCAGATTGATCTCACCCTAATTCCTTGCTAGGGTAGAGGCGTACTGGGGGCATTGGTCGCCATCCATGGTGATTGTCCCTGCCTCTGCCTGGACCAGCCCATTGGGGCCCACCTGACTATTCAACAAGGGCTGCAGCAAAGAGGTCCACTTTCCTTTTCATCTTCCTGTTGGCCTCCTGTTTTGCCTCCTGATCCCGAATGACAAACACCTTTGTGGCCAACTCCAAGAGCTGGCTGGTGTTCATTCCAGAGAATTCCTCCAGTTTCTGCAATTTTTGCCTCATGTCCCCTTGGGCCTGGCCAACAAAAGCAGCGTTAATCATCCTCTGGTTTTTACCGGCTTCTGGGTCAAAAGGGGTGTACAAGCAGAAGGCTTTGAACAAATGCTAATAAAACTGGCTGGGACTCTCATCTGGCCCTTGGAGGACTTCTGATGTTTTGCTCATGTTCACGGCTTTTTGCCCTCCTTCCTTCATGCCTCCCAATAGTGCCTCCTGATATCACTCAAGCCGCGGGTAGTCTCGGTCATCATTGGGGTCCCAATGGGGTCCTCCTTGGGAAACTGAGCCTGGGCATATGCTTGGACATTTACAGTGCCCTCGGGCATGATCTTCCAACCACTTTAGAGCCACCACTGTTATTACAGAATCACCCTTTAGTATTGAATATAGTCAGAAGAAGCTGTCAGCAGTCTGTCCAGGGGGGTTTATGAATTTGGATATAGACTGCATTAAATCAATCAGAGCTTGGTGTTTTTCCATGAAGGAGGGAGTATGAAGTTTCCACGTTAGGAGGTCTGTGGAGGTAAAGGGCTGGTAGATGAAGATCCGCACTCCTCCTTTTATTTGACAGTGCTGGTCATAATACACTGGGCCTTGGACCTTCCTCAGGAACATCTGCAGGGTAGTGGGAGTCTCAGGAGAGGAGGGGTCCTCACGGGGACTGGTTGGATGCCCCTGATTGAATGGGGGATGTGAGGTGAGAACTGGTGGACTCAGAGTAGGCATGAGGTCCATAGGACTCATGGAAGTCAGGGGAGTTGAGGCCCCAGAGGTTTCTGGGCCAGATTTTACAGGTGTGACTGTCCCTCGAGATTCCCCATCCGATGTCAAAGGTAAGAGTGCAGAACTGGGTGCCAGTGGCAGGGGTGGATAAAGTGGCACATAGGGTGGTGGCATTTGCTCGGGCTCCTTGGCCAGTACAGGTTCTTTTGATTTTTCCCTACACTTGGAAGTTGCAGCCACCCTAGCTACCATGATCCTACAGGTTTCTTCCCGACAAGGTCTTAGCCATGCATGCAGGCTAAGAACTGCATCCTGCCAGCACTCAATGTAGGGAAACTGATCTGGGTGCCCAGGATTCCCTACAATTACCCTATAAACTTCATTGACTACAATTTTGTCTATTGACCCCTGTGCCACCCTACACCAAAAGCCGGCCAATCTAATTCACAAAGAGTCCTAAGTTTGCTAGGAGTTAACCTGACTCCATAGTTCCTATTAAATCCCATTTTAAAGTTTTTAAGCATATACTCCAAGGGGGTGCCCTTACTCTGATTTCCACCCATTTCCTCCGGTTACCAGACGTCAAGATAGACACGGAGGGGTAGGGGTTTTGGAGGAGAGGTAAGGGGTCCTCTTCTCCCGCACACAGGTAAGAACGACATGCGCCCCTGATTGGTAACCTGGTCGCAGTCGTCTGGCCAGGAACTGCACCTACACTGGGTCCTCACTCGCTTCGCAGCCAGGCTACGTCTCAGACTCACACTCACACTTCCGCCCCGCTCCCTTAACCTGAGAGACACGGTTTCACCCGGGATAGGGCTACTCGGGTGTCTCTGGGAGACTCCCCTTCTGCCTCCCAAAGGCAAGCCTATCATTTGAACCCAGGTTCTTACCAGTATGACCGACGGAGCTCCCAACTGGTTCCCGAGACTTTTTCAGGTTCCTTTTGCAACCGAGACTCGCTCCCCCGCGCGCCTGGAGAAGTGACTCCCTCTGTTGGATCAACAGGTCCACGAGCCGGGGATGCCGAGTCCCGGCGACAAGGAGGTGAAAGGCACCGTCTCCGAATCCCTGACTGAGTACCGAGAACAGCTGCGAGATGTTTAGCAGGGAAACGGGACACCAAAGCTTTTCGGGAAGCAATGTTTACTGGCACGTCGGCAGAAACCCAGCGGATTCACATCCAAAGGCTGAATCCCCAGAACAAAGGAGCCTTACCTTATATACTCAGAGGTGAAAAATAAAGTTTAACCCCATATATATGATTACTTGTAATCTTAGCGGCTATCTTCACATTGTCAGTGCTACGTGATCATTTTCAAGCGATTCAGGGCACAGCACACCGCACAAGTTACAAACCTTCTTTATTTAAAGTATACTTACTAAGATGACTTTACACTTAGGTGATGTTTCTGCCAGGTTGTAGTTGGCAAAACTTCTTTGAGAGCCCCATCAAAGCTCATTTTCTATACTCATGCTTACTTTGACTATCTCTGATTACGTCTGAAATTCACAGATGTTGACCAACATGACAGCTAAAGAGTGGCTTCCGCCGTGGAGACTTTTGGGAAACTCTATGCAAATAAGTCGGGCTGCGCACGGCTCCGCCCCCCTTGGCGCAGTGGCCCTCAGCCACCCGCGTTGGGGGGGGGGGTGGGACCTCCGCGGGCGGCCGCAGGTATCCCAGGGTGCCCCGCGGGCCTAGGGCCGTCTGGCCTGGTGCGCTCGCAGGCATTGCAGGCCCGGCGGACGCAGGAGAAGGCGAAGGCAGCGGAAGCGGCCGTGGGCAGTGGCGAGGGAGGCGGCGGCCGGAACACATCTCGGACAACTGCCGGCCGCCAGAGCGAAGCGGGGCGGCATGTCGGAGCACGCGGCGCCCGCGGCCCCGGGGCCCGGGCCCAACGGCGGCGGTGGCGGCGGCGGACCGGCCCCCGCGCGAGGCCCGCGCACCCCCAACCTGAACCCCAACCCCCTCATCAACGTGCGCGACCGACTTTTCCACGCGCTCTTCTTCAAGATGGCTGTCACCTACTCGCGGCTCTTCCCGCCTGCCTTCCGCCGCCTCTTCGAGTTCTTCGTACTGCTCAAGGTGACCGCCCCTGGCCCCCAACCCCTGACACTTGACTCCAGTGGCACGCGGGCTCCCCCCCTGCATTGGAGGCTTAGATCCGGTCCGATCCGTTAGGGACCCTGGTGCCTGCGACCTCTGATCCTAGGCGCCTGGACACAGTGCTGTCTTGGTGCCTCCTCCCGGGAAGACCCAAGTGTCATCCCGTTGGAGTCCCTGGTCCTGTCCTGCCCTCCTCCTTCCTGGGGCCCCACCTCCCCGGCTTGGAGCCTCGCCCTTACCTCCCAGGGCCCTCCTCTCGCCCTTTGACCCCTGACTCGGCAGCCTGGGATCTTCAGCCCCTGGACCCCCTAAACACCTTACCCGTGCCTGAGCTTGTTCAGAACTAGTCTATCCCAGGTCTCCCCTGGGGATCGCCCCCTGCACAAGGATGTCGCCCCCCACATGGTCTCTTCCTCTTGGTGGGGGTCTTCCCCTCCTGGCTGAGCCTCATAGGGCCTTGATAGGGATAGGACTTGGTCGGGTTAGCATCAGTGTCACTGGTGGACTGAGGGTCTGATGGAACCTCTGTGCTGCCTACCCTGGCCTTGTCCACTTCTGGAGCTCCTTGGTGGCCTCTGGGCCTCAACTCAGGAAGAACTAGTGCCAAGCCTGGGTTCCTCCAGGAAGAAGTTTTGCTTGAGGTCAGCTGGGCCACCTGGATAGTAGGTTTGTAATCTGTCTAAGGAAATGGAGAAGTGGCAGGGGCCCTCTGATGTCACAGAGTGAGATCTTTCTTCCTTGTGTGGCAGAAGAAGCTGATGCTGCTGGACTGGACAGGTGAGACTGTGAGTCGGATCCCAGCCTGAACAGTTGGGCACAAGCTGGCTGCTCTTTGGGGTTTGGTGGAAGGAGTCAAAGCCCCGCCATCAGGGCAGGTCCTAGCCCTACCAAAGCTGCCAGGGAAGTTCCCCTGGACCTCTAGTCCCTGGTCTGCAGATGGACCAAATGTCCAGGCATGAGGAGCCGGCCTCCCCCGCTGGTGTTGGGTCCTTTCTCCTTCTTCCCTTTCCTCCCTCCCTGCAGCTCTAAGAACTGCTTCATGTGGGGGGAGGGAGGTCCTGAATCTAGGATCCTTTATCAGACTCCATGGTCTCCTTATATGGCTTGAGCCTGTGGACAGAGGCTCATCCGTAGGGTGGGTTTTCCTTGGACACCCAGGAAGACTGGAGTGGTTGGGATCCCAGAAGGAGTCACCATGCAGGTAGTGCGTGGGGAGGCCTGCTTTGGGATACCTACCATGGTTACTGCAGGTACCCGACCTCACCTCCCTGAAGGTGTGTACCAGTGGTCTTGCTCTGGTTCCATTACTTTCTGATATGGAAGGGGCTGGATGCTTGGGCCGTTCCTGTAGGCCTGGCTCCATCTCCAGGCATCTGGGTCTTGGCCACTGTTACAGGTCACCCTGCACTGCCATGTGGGAGCCTCAGAAATCGGGTGCTTCAGGGATGCTGTCAGTGTCCCTGAGTCCCTCAGCTGGGGTGTCAGGCCATTGGATCACTGGTGGAGGTAGGGATCTGTTTGTCAGGAAGTGTAGTTTTGGACCCTGCACATTTTATTTATTTGGGAAGTCTGACCAGAATAGCCACTTTCTGAGTCTGCTCTGGATTCTGGGAAGCTCCACTCTTCTACTTCCGCCTTTCTGTCCCAGAAGTAAAGGCCACCTGCCTGCTGTTCCCTGGAGCCCATGCCTAAGCTTGGGTCATTTTAGGAGACTGTGTGCCCTGTTGGCTTCTGGAGAAAGGTGGCAGCCTGCTGGCCTCATTGGTGTCACGGCTTCGATGCTAGGAAGGCAAAGACTAGTAGACATGAAATGTCAGCTTCTGGCCTAGGCAGCCTGTGGAGGAAGGTGTGGCCCCATGGAACACCCAGAGATGGACCTGCAGGCTTGGACTCTCGTCCATGGGGAGACCTACCTTGGGGGCAGGGCACTGGGATGCTCTGAGCCCTGGCTGGGAGTGTTGGGTTATTCCTGGACATGGTGGCTAGTGCAGCTTCTGCAGCCTAGCATCTAACAGTGCTCACTGCCAGCCTCCTGTAGGGCTCTGGATTGCAGCATTGAGGGTCAGACCTGAAAGAAGGGAGTGCCAGTGCTGGGGCTGAGTGGGCAGGGCAAAGGACTCAGGTGAGTGGGCTACCAAGGTGAAGAGCAGGGCATCCAGGCAGTAGGCCTGGTGGACCTTTGGTATTCTGGCTGAGAGCTTGAGGGCAGCAGCAGGGAATAGGGGTTGATCTGGATTACTCAGGGCATGTGGAGTGACTGAGGCAAGCTCGGCAGGGAGCAGCCTAGGCCAGGAGGACCCAGAGATAAGTCTGGCTGCATGTACCCACTTGTTGCTCTGCGGTGAGGAAGCAGAGGCCTAGATGGGAGTGGATCTTGTGTGGGACAGAGACTCCTGGCCCTGCTAGTCAGTGGAGAACTGCTGGGGGCCTGGCCAACATAGGGACTTGGGTGTGGGGATGTGTGCCCACTGCAAGGGCTGCTGGAGAGGACACCACTGAAATCTGTGTCATAATGTTTGGGTCCTAGAGGCCACTTGGTATCTCTGCAGATGCCAACCCCATTCTTGTGTCATGTTCCTGTGGGATGTGGATATGGCAGACTATGCATCTATCTGCCTTCCCCCAGACTGAGGTCCTCCCAAGGCTGCCAGTCTACTCGTGGTCAAGGTCAGCTGGAAGTCTCAGTCTATAACCTGTGACTGGTCCTGCCTACCCTTCTGGTTGAGTGACCTCAGCAGGCTTGTGAGCCGTGTGTCTTGGTTTCCTCATTTGTGATCTAGGATGGTGGGAAGAGTATGTCTGTCCCTAGGAAGTGCTGGGCAGCCCCTAGCTTGGGACATACTCTGGTAGCTCTCTTTATAATGTGCCAGTATGTCATCCAGTGCAGTCCTTTGCTGGTGTGCTGACCTGTAGCTCTTAACTGAGGAGTCCATGGTAGGCCTTACTTCAGGTTCAGGTGTTGCTGGATTCAGGACTTTAGTGAGCAGTATGCTCAGATCCAGGGTATCTATTCTCTGGGTTTGTGTCCCCATCAGGTCCCAGGCAACAAAGTTGGCCAGGAGGGTTATAGGTGCTTTGCTGACCCAGCCCTGTCCTCAGTCTGCAGATGGCTTCAGAGGGGAGGTCTGGCTACCAGTAGACATGGATGGAATGCTTGTGGCTCTGTGGCCACAGTCAGTGCACCCTCTCAGGCCCTCCCTGAGTTCATTGGATGGCCCCTTGTCAGCAGGTGGGGAGGAGCTTTGTGCTCTTACGTCTCCATGGTCCTGGTCCTTCTAGCTGTGGTTTTGGGTCAGTCAGCTCTTCCCTGGAGTCTGGAAACTTGGGAGTGTGTGGAGTGTGGGAGACTATGCTGACCCCACTACTGAAACATTTGGCAGAACCAAATGGGGCTCCCTGGCACCCCACTGGGGCAGCAGGCACTGTGTGCCATGGAGGGGGGCAGCAGATGGATGTTGTACTCACAGGCTTTGCAGATGGCTCGGAAAGTTGGTGTCATGTACACAACATCCGTGCTGGGAGGTGGCATGGCAAACAGAGCCAGGAGACAAGCAGGGCTTCCTGGCAAAGGGGCTGCCCTAGATGGCCCAAAGGAGGGGCCCACATTTAACCTCACACTCTGCTGCTGCTGTGGACACCAGGGCCAGGTTGTCCTCTGGTGGGGTATCTTGTACATTGCAGGGCACTGAGCAGTATCTCTGGCTTCCACCCATTTCATGCCAGGAGCTCCCCAGTTGTAAACACCACAAATATCCCACACATCCACCCAGGGTCCTCTGGCAACAGAGCCTCCTTTAGGTGAGACTCCTGGGTCAAGGGACTACCTCCATGGTCACCTGCTCCCCTGAAGTCCTAGGATGCTATCCACAGTGATGCTCACATACTGACTGAGGCAGGGAGAGGGCAGCCCCAGAAATTGGGAGCCCCAGGTCACAGTGTCTGTCCCTCAGGACTATGTCCTAGATCTCTGGTGGAAGAGGAATCAGACTTATTTTTATTATTATTTATAATTTTTTAATTTTTATTATAATTATTTATAACTTATTTATTAGTTATTTTTTCCCAAATAACTAATGTGTGGCTTCTTAATGTTGGTACTTGGGACATTGAGGGCTAGATTGTTCTCTGGGGTGTGTTCTGGGCGCTGCAGGCTGCTGAGCTATGTTCCTGACCCCCACATACTCCATGCCAGTTATAACAGCCCCATACACTGTCCAGCATCCACTGGGGTCAGAAATACCCAATGAGAGTGGCTGTGGTGCCATTTTACAGGCAGAACAACCTAGGCATCTGGCCCCTGTCCACAAGGGCCAACTGTGTCTTCGGCAGGCCAGACCCAGGATTGGTTGGGTGCAGAGGCTTCCTAGCAAGGGAGGGTGGCTATTCTTAGCTGATGAGATCAGAGGCCATGAAGACACAGCTGAACTTCAGCAGGAACCAGCCGTAAGGCCCTGGGGACTATGTGGGCCTCACATGGATGGTGGGCCCAGTAGGTGGTCTAGGGGCCACAGCCTCTGGGCTGGGCTTTGTGGGAGGGGAGCAGCTGGGGAGCAGCTGGTTGGTGGTGCTAGTGGGCTCTGCATGGAGGCCTGAACCCAGCCCTGTGTCTCTCCTTGGGAGTCTTAACCACATGGACAGGGCTGTGACCTTCAAACCTTGTCCCATTCAGCTCACCCCAGGAGGTATGGCCAGTCACAGGTGTCTTTCAAGCCCAAGGCCCATCAGCCTTTCTTGGGCTGGGTGCCAGGTCAGGACCTGGGACAGTGATGCCTGTCAATCCTCAGTCACTTGAGCTGCTTGGGGGTTTGGCCAGGTGCTGGCAGCCTAGGAGGGGTGCAACTGCCTGCTAGGGTTCTCCTTCCCTTCCCCTTCCCTTTCCCTTACCCTGCACCAAGCAGGTGCAGGTCTGTGCTGCTCAGTTGCTAACTGCTGTTATCCCCCTGCCCCCCAGGCCCTGTTTGTTCTGTTCGTGCTGGCCTACATCCACATTGTCTTCTCCCGCTCGCCCATTAATTGCCTGGAGCATGTACGCGACAAGTGGCCGCGCGAGGGCATCCTGCGAGTGGAGGTACGGCACAATTCGAGCCGTGCACCCGTCTTCCTGCAGTTCTGTGATGGTGGCCGCCAGAGCTTTGCTGGTCTGGCCATGGAGCCCAGTGGCCTGGAGCTGGAGGATGAGGAGGAGGAACTCACCATGGAGATGTTTGGGAACAGCTCTGTTAAGGTGAGCTGCACCTGGCAGGTGTGGGGCTGAACACCTATTGAAGGACAGGTCCGCCTGCACAGGTGCTGTGTCTTGGTACATTTCTGGGGGGCTCCTGGATGCCAGGTAGAGAGATGGACCTGGTTCTGGGTCACTGAGGGCAGAAGTAATGGAAGAGGAGTTGAAGGCTCAGCTCAGAGCTCTGGGCCCAGCCTAGGTGGCAAAGTCGCCAGGGGATGGGAGAGGAGCGTTTGTCACTCACACGGGCACTGGCAGGGGTAGATAGCCATCTCCGCCCCTGTGATGAGAAATCCTCATGCTTTAGCAGTTGGAGACTTGGAGTCCAAATGGCCCTGATCTGCTGACCCCAAGCCCTGAGACCTCTGTAGCATTCAGCTCTGCATGTCCTGCCCTGTCCTGTCCCCATCACCAGGATTCAGACCCTCTCCTGGAAATGGCTGCATGTGGGCTGGGCTTGGTATTGGGGTGGGGGTCCAGGAAGTCAGCCTGGTCCTGGTCTGTGATGGGACAGTGGCCCCAGCCCTGGAGATGGTAGACATCCCCTCACCTGGTCAGTGGGAGAAAGAGACAAGGGACTGCCTTCCCTAGATCAGGCCCTTGTAACCCAGCTGGCCTTGCTGACTCTTTGGTCCCTGTTGCCCACAGTTTGAGCTGGACATTGAACCCAAGGTATTCAAGCCGCCAAGTGGTACTGAGGCCTTGAATGACAGTCAGGAGTTCCCTTTCCCTGAGACACCAGCCAAAGGTACGCCCAGGTCTGCAGGCAGGTGTGGGTGCTTCAGCACTGTGCCAGCCAGGTGGTGGGTGGTGGGTATGAGCTAGGCTGACCAGCTGTCCCACAGTGTGGCCACAGGATGAGTACATCGTGGAGTACTCACTGGAGTATGGCTTCCTGCGTCTGTCACAGGCCACACGCCAGCGCTTGAGCATCCCCGTCATGGTTGTCACCCTGGGTAAGCCAGACCCCAAGTCACAGGGTGTCCAGCTGCTGCGGGTGGGACTGGGGCCAAAGGACCTGTCCAACTGCAAGACATTTCCCAGGGCATCTCCCTCCCATGCCTCCTGGGGGCTTCTGCTCAGCCCTGACCCTACCCACACACAGATCCCACGCGAGACCAGTGCTTCGGAGACCGCTTCAGCCGCCTGCTGCTGGATGAGTTCCTGGGTTATGATGACATCCTCATGTCTAGCGTGAAGGGCCTGGCTGAGAATGAGGAGAACAAAGGTGTGGCTCACCCCTATGGGTGGGGGGGAAGTGGGGTCTGGGTTACCTGCGCTCATTGCCTTCCCCACAGGCTTCCTGAGGAATGTGGTGTCCGGCGAGCACTACCGCTTTGTCAGCATGTGGATGGCACGCACATCCTACCTTGCTGCCTTTGTCATCATGGTTATCTTCGTGAGTGTGGGGGAGGGGTGGGGCCTTGGGAAGTTGTGGGGGAAGCGGTGCCTCTGGTCAGGGCTTTAGGCTGCAAGATCCCTGCAATTCCTGATCCTGTGGCCTCACTTGCAGACGCTCAGTGTGTCCATGCTGCTCCGCTACTCCCACCACCAGATCTTCGTCTTCATCGGTGAGTCCCGGCCGGCCACGGGGGGCGGGGCGGGCTCGCCCCCAGGCCCTCACGAGTGGCCCCCGCGCCCTGTGCCCGCAGTGGACCTGCTGCAGATGCTGGAGATGAACATGGCCATCGCCTTCCCCGCAGCACCCCTGCTGACCGTCATCTTAGCCCTCGTTGGTGAGGACCCTGCCCCCCACCAGCCTTCCCCACCCCATGCCCTCACACCCCCCCCCGCCCCGCCCACTCCCAACCCAGTGCCACCTGTCCCCACAGGGATGGAGGCCATCATGTCTGAGTTTTTCAATGACACTACCACGGCCTTCTACATTATCCTCATAGTGTGGCTGGCTGACCAGTATGATGCCATTTGCTGCCACACCAACACCAGCAAGCGGCACTGGCTGCGGTGAGCTGGGCGGGGCTGATAGGGAGTCCCTGGGTCACAGGCAGTCTGGGGTCTGGGGCCAGCGCAGGGTGTGCAGGAGGGCCGGGATCCTGGAAGCAGGCTGGGGTCCTGGGGTTTACAAGGATGACCACCCCTGCTCACAGCCCTGCCCCACAGGTTCTTCTACTTGTACCACTTTGCTTTCTACGCCTACCACTACCGCTTCAACGGGCAGTACAGCAGCCTGGCCCTAGTCACCTCCTGGCTCTTCATCCAGGTGAGGCCTAGGTGGGAAGGAAGGGCTGTGACTGACCAGGTTGGCAGTGGTAGAGACTGAGGTCCACAAGCTAGGTCCCAGAGCTGATCAGAAAGCCCTTTGCAGAGGACCAGGCCCACTGCTGGGCAGTGCATGTCCAGTCCTCTGCCTCACTATCCTTTGGTTGGGCTGTTCCCAGCACATCTTGCCCTCCCACTGAATCTGCTCCAGCAGGTCAGAGTGAGCAGAGGGCATGTCCTTTACTGAGTTCCAGTGTGGCCTGCACCAGACCAGTACTGGGGCTCTGGTCTGTTGGTGGGTGGGGCCTACTGACCTGATCTCACCCTCTCCCACCCGCAGCATTCCATGATCTACTTTTTCCATCACTATGAGCTGCCTGCCATCCTGCAGCAGATCCGCATCCAGGAGATGCTACTGCAGAGCCCGCCACTGGGCCCCGGGACCCCCACAGCACTGCCAGATGACCTGAACAACAACTCGGGCACCCCAGCTGCCACTCCTGACCCTGCCGGCCAGCCTCTTGCCCTGGGCCCTGGCTCCACTGGAGCCAGTGGGGGGCCTGGGCCTGGGGCCACAGCACCCACCTCCCTAGGGGCTGTAGCTGCTTCAGTGGCGGCTGCGGCAGGGGGTGACCTGGGCTGGATGGCAGAGACGGCTGCCATTATCACAGACGCCTCATTCCTATCTGGCTTGAGTGCCTCACTCCTGGAGCGACGGCCTGCTGGGTCCCTGAGTTCCAGTGGGGGCCTCCCCCACACCTCCCAGGACAGTGTCCCCCAGAGTGACTCCTTGGCTGGGCCTGACACAGCCACCCCTGTGGCCACAGGAGGTGGGCCCAGCCTTGCATCCATGGCCCCAACGGATGAACCCTCTCAGGTTGGGTCCTGAGAAGCCCTGGCAGCTGAGCCACCTGTCCCTGGCTTCCCTGCTGGTGGGTGGAGTGCCAGCACTCACTCCCTTCCTCTGGACCACCCAGCTGGCGAATGGTGTGGGTTTCATTAGGTTTGCAGAAGGCGGGTCTCTCTCCCCTGGTGTGGGGCCCACTGAGGCTTGACCTGCTAGTCAGCTGTGTTTGTGGTGGTCTGCAAGGGGGATGGGGCTCCACGGAAGGTTGAAAGGGGCTTGGTGGGAGATCTAGAGCATACCGGCCTGTGGGCAGCACAGGTCACCCATAGGGCAGGTCTGAGCCAGGTGATCAGATGGTGGAGTGGGTGGGGTGGGGCCAGGCACACCTTCGTGCTGTCAGGCCCTACCTGGTGCTCCCTGCACAGTGCCTTCTCCACAGCCTCCCTTCTCCGTGAGTGCACCGGGCTTGGGGTCCCGGGGAGGGCAGAGCTGCACCTCGAGCATAGAGACACAGGTGCCAAGGTCAGAGGCCAGGGTGCAGCCCTACTCAGGGTGGGACTGGGCCATGTGGCCAAACCAATCACTCGGTGAGGAATACGGAGGAGTGCTCATTCCATTCTATTTAATTGCAGTGTAAAAATTGTATATAGAATAAACTGTCAGTGGACAGGACCCAATCTGCCTGCATGTGCATGTAAAGTGGAAGCCCGTTCTGCTGCCTCTGTGTGGGGCAGGTGCAGGGTTCATCACCTCGTGTCATTTGGGCTGCCCCTGCCTGGAACAAGCGCAGTGGCCAATGGCAGATGCCATCCCCGAGCTGGGCTCGGAGCTCACCACGCCTCAATAGGGCTTGGCGGAGCCGCTCCCGCACAGCCTCGATGTGCTGCTCCAGCTCTTCCAGCTCACCTGCGTGTGAGGCAGCCCCAGGATTTGTGGCCAGTGGGCGCCCGTTGGGGCACAGCCAGACAGGACCCTCAGGCACCCTAGGCTTCATTTCTGCATCGACATCTGCATCCTTGTCCTGGTCAGCAGCCACAGCTGGCTCTAGTAGGAAGTGCACTTGGCGCTCCTTGCCTATGGCCGGGGGTACCCGTTTCCAACGCCCTGGGTCCTCAGAGTCCACCGGAATATCCTGCTGCTGTTCCTCAGTGCCACTGAGGATAGGGGATAGGGCTGAGCAGTGTTCTCCAGATAGCTGTACCCTCCTATGTCTGGGGCCTTGTGGAGACGGCATGCTACAGGCCTGGAATCAGGCTGGGGACTCTGGGAAGGACACCTCCCTCATCCAGCCTGTGCTGGGCAGGGCAGGCCACTCCTTACCTGGGCTCAGGCTCCAACCTCTCCTGCTGCCCTTCTGGTGGCCCCATGTTAAGGGCTCGGTGGATTTTCTAAGACCCAAACAGGACCCATTGATGGTGGAGTCAGCAGCCAGAGGCCTCCTGGCCCAGTGGCCCACAGCCCTGCCTCACCTGGCTGGTATGCAACCAGTACTGCAGTTTGTTCCCCCGGCGGATGCATGGCAGCACCAGGTGATAGAAGACATGCTCACCCAGCGAGCTGAGCAGGGCACTGCCCAGGCCCAGGCACAACAGCACAAACAGCCCCGAGAAGTGATAGATGCCCATCTGGAGGGTCTGCAGTGGGACACAGGTGGGATTTCCACATGCTCATGTGATGCAGGTCTTTGGAGAGTCCCAGGCTGGACCCCATGGGAGCCTAGGGCTGTGGAGCCAGGGTAAGAGGCAAGGGCTCTGTGCCTGGAAGTGAGATTTCATGGAGGGGGTTGTGGGGCTGGGGTTTTGTAGAAAGAGTAGGATGTCTGACACTAGGCAAGGCTCAGGGGCCCAATACCTAACCCCACCCTGTGCTTGGGGCCTTTCCCCACCTCTGTAACTGCAAAGACTCGCTTCCCGCAAGGCACCATCTTGTACCACTTGTCATGGAGCAGGTCAATGAAGCCTGAGGATTTGTAGCGACTGATGAACTCAGACAAGTTGGAGGTAAGTGGTGAGTTCTGGGGCAGTCCGATGCCATAGCCTGAGGAAACCTGGGCATGTAAGAACCAGCCCTAGGGAAATGGTATGCTGCACTTGCTCCTCTGGGGATTTGGGATCTCATGAACCCCGTGGCTCCCCACTGCCCCACCTAGCCTCTCTCACCCTCGATGGCGAAGGGCTTTCCCACAGTCAACAGCTTACAGTCAGCATCGATGGAGACTTCATAGTCCAGGAGCGACTTGTCCATGATGAAGGCATTGAGCTTGGGAGGGTCACTCCTGCAGGGCAGGGTGGAGTCAGTGGGGTGGGGTCAGCAGGATGCCCCCCCACCTCTCCAGCACTCTGTCTCACGTGAGCATAGCAACGCCGTCAGGCGTGGTGGGTGCACTGTGGCGCTTCATGTGCGCGTGCATCTCAGGGAAGCTCGCCTTGATGTAGGCCTCTGCGCTGCTCTCCCACACGGTCCCGAAGCGGAATCCCTGGGATGGGTGGTGCAGCTGTGCAGAGCAAGGCAGTGGTCAGACCCGCTGGGCTGCTAGAGCATCCTCCAGGAATCTTGGCTTGGCCACCTGGTGGCACTACAAGGTGCTGAGCAGTGCCTCTGGCCCAACCCACTGCTTACCAAGACCTCCTCCTCCCCAGTCATGAGAACCATAAATACCCTCACACTGTCCTGGGGCAGCACCACTCAGACTGAGACACTCTTTCAAAGCCCTGCACATTCATCTCCATGTAGACCTCACCCTGAATTCACCTCCTAAAATTGGCTCTCTGGGGATCCCAAGGGAGCCCAAATGCACATCGCTCTTGTCTTCTCCTTGCACCTGCCCCTGGGGAGTCCCACCCAATTCAGAGCAGCTCTGACCTCTCTCTCCCTGCACCTCATCCATTTGCACTGCGTGTTCCACCTTCAGAACACACAGAACAGCCCACTGCAGGCTCTCACCCTTCCTCCCACCCTCCCACCACCTTCCCATTACCCTCCCACTATCATCTCCATCATCCTTCCATTCCCTCATCATCCACATCCTCCCAGCATCTGACCCTAGACCTGCCCATTCTCCCCAGTCCTGGCTTCCTGGTGCTGTGCATGATTGTCCTCAGCAGAGTCCTCAATGCTGCTGCAGGGTCTTATGATATGAGTAATTCTGCTGCTAAAGTTACACCAGCCAACACCTGACACCCCCCAGCACCACCCAAAACCCAAACCTGCATTGGATTGAGCCTCTGTGGCAGCATCACCAGATAGAGCTTTCCGACGATAGCTAGGCTCTCCTTGCCATCCATGCACAACCACTAGGATCCTACCCCTAGGTGGCCACATGTGACTTGTGCACTGGATAAGCAGTTCCCTGTCACCCACTCACTGGGACATGGGTGAGGACAGAGGGTCAGCACGACATAACTAGCCAGATCACAGGTAGGAGATGCTATTGGATGAAAAATCTGATTTCTTCATCAAACACATTAAAGGGAGACAATAAAGATTCTACCACAACATTGTGATGTCCCAGAAAACAGATTCAAACAAACGGTGGGGCTGGTGGAGTGGCTCAAGTGATAAGAGTGCTCCCCTAGCACATGGATGCCAATGCCAGATAGGCCAAAAATCCAAGCTGAAACAACAAAAAAGCCCCATGTGTCTGTAGGGTGGGGAGGAGGTAGGGGAATGGGGCCCTGGTTGTGTGAAGGTCCCTGAAACAGTCACAGATGAAACTGCACAAGTGTGAGACTTGTCTCCAAATAGTACTATTGTGGTGGTGCCTGTATGAAGCCAGGTGAGCAAAGAGCTGTGCAATCCATTGCTCCTAACTTTTTTAAGCATTTATAAATTGTTATAAAAAGAGAATGTGTAGATCACGGTGCACCCCGACTCTGCTCACAGCCCTCCATGGCTCCCACCTCTTTCAGGGTCAAAACCCAAATCCTTCCTACAGTCCATATGTCCTAAATGACCTACTCCCCCCTCTCTCTCCATCTCCCTCTCCATGTTACTACCTCTCTCCAGCTACACAGGTCTCCTCACTGCTCTTCCAACATGTCAGGCTTGGTTCTGTCCCAGGGCCTTTGTGCATGCTGTACCCTCTACCTGGACACCCTCCTCCAGGTACCTACATGACTATTGGTTATTTTCTTAAGGGAAGGAGCTCAGGGAGACTTCTTTGAAGGGTGATAAGTGAGGGATTTTTTTTTTCCTCTGTCATCATTCTTTGCCTATTTTGACCCTGCTGAATCCACAGGGCCTGGCACATGTGGGGCACTGAGTATGTCTTTGAGGGCTGGGGGTGCCCATCAGTGGTAGAACACTTGCCTAGCATGCACAAGATCTATGTTCCATCTTCAGCACCTAAGATGAATAAAATGTACTTTTCTGGGGATAGGAATGGGCACCCTTCTCATGCAGAGCCCTTCACTTGCCACTTCCTGTCCTTGCCTAGCTCTGAGACACTTCTTGGCCACCCACCTTAGGGTCGTGGATACCCGACAGCTCCTCAAAGGTCTTGTCTCCAACCATGACAGCGGCCAGCTTAGCGGTGTAGCTGGACAGCACCAGCAGGCAGAAAATGGCCCAGAGGTTCATGAGGAAGCGCCCGGTGGGGCACTTTGGGGTCTTGCTGGAGACAGTGCGTCCAAAAAGGATGGCGTAGCACAGGTTGAGGGCTGAGGAGTAGGAGAACACTGTGTCCCTGTTGCGGCCGCGTGGTGTCAGGCCATAGGGGCTGCGCCACTCGTACAGAGTGAGGAACAGGGCTGTAAGGTGGAGGGCCATGAAGACACCCACCCACATGGACCAGTGCAGTGGCCACATGAAGGCGCCAATGGGAGAGGCCGTGTCCCGTGTGCGCACCATGATGCCCAGGCTGGTGGAGAAGAAGGGGCTGGTGAAGTCCACTACCTGCGAGCGGGCCGAGTTGATGCTGAAGCTGGTGACGGCCATGTGGGCGGTGCCAGCCAGCAGGTCACCCACCAGGCCAGTCCAGCGGCCATCCCGCAGGGCACCATACTTGCCATCACCCACAATGTACAGCTCAAAGTGGAAGGGTGCGTCCTCAGCTAGCCTCTCCAACAGGTCGATGCAGTAGCCGTAGCAACACTTGCGCAGGGCACGGGGCACTGAGCCATTGGCCAGTGCAGCAAACAGCATGTCCAGTGCAGCAGAGTCATTGGTGCCAGGGTCCAGGCACAGCTGCCCTGCTGGGCACTGCCCGTCCTCATCTGGCTCACGTGTGAACACAAATGGGTGCTCCACCAGTGTCACCACGCGAAGTTTTGGCCAGGCCTGGGTGCCCTGTGGAGCTGGGGGCTGGGCAGCTGCAGCCCCTGGCTCCAAGTCCAGCTGCCCATCCTGCCAGCTGCCCACCGTAGTCCAGGCTGGGGCACCCAGTGGGTCCTGGCGCAGGCTCCACACTTTGAAATGCCGGGATATATGTACTTGGGAGGAGCTTGTCACCCACACGGGCCCTGTGTGGCCCTGAAAGGATGTGTTGGCCAGGAACCTAGGGATGGGGAGGTGTCAGGAGGGGCATGCAAGACTGTCTGAAGCCTGTCACCTCCCCAGCACCCACCTAGGTCTCACTGGACCTCCTGGCTCATACAATGGGCTCACTCTCCCCCAACTGGTCCAGATCCCTTTCCAGCAGGGACACCTGCATCCCAGATGCTTGGCCTGAAGCTGAGAATTGACCACATGGATGCCAACTCCAGATAGGCAGCCTGCTTCTGGACTGCCGTTTGGCCTGGGAGCTGCTGGAGGGAGCAGGCAGCCTCAACATCCACAGACCTTGAACTTGACCACCTTCCCCCCACCACTCCAGAAGCATTGCCCAGCTCTGCTCCCAAGGGGGGAGATGCTATTCAGCCAGCAAAGCCTTGCCACTTTTGACACCTGGAGGAAACAAGCTAAAGCAAGGAGTGGATGGACCTGCAGCAGCCAGGGTGGTGTCATGGACACTGGACACTGTTCTTTCTCAGCTGTGACATCTGCCTCCAGCCACTCTGCCACACCTCAAGGCTGGTCCCTGCTTCATCTGGAGATGCCCCAGGGCATACAGAGCCTCCTTCCCACCTCTCCCTCATAAATCTGTCTACTCTCATCCATGACAAGGATGAAACCTATCTTCTCCACTCAGCACACTGCAAATGCCCAATAATGTCCCCCCCCAACATCCTTTTCTTTTTTTTAATAAGGCCTGGCTATGTAGCCTAAACTGACTTGGAACACACCATCCTCCTGAGTGTTGGGATCACAAGTGTGCACCACGGTGCCTGCCTAATGTCACATTAGTGACCCGTAGGTAGAGAAGGCTGATGGGCCAGGCTACTTGGGGGCCCCGGCACCCTTCCCTAAGCAGGTCCCCACTCACCGTGCCAAGAAGCGCCCAGAGGACTCTAGTCCCGCTGGCTGAAGCTCATCACAGTTGACTGAGGCAGGGAGCAGGGCGCGCTCTGGTTGTACTTGTGCTGCACTGCTCAGTGCCCGGGCCATGAGCTCCACAGCATCATGGATAACGGCCTCCAGCGAGGGTCGGGCCACCTCACCCAGTGCCAGCAGCCCAGGAGGGAGGCCAGTTGTGGGGAGTGCCTCAGCAGGCAGTGGCGTGCCCAGCAGCCAGCGGGGCCCAGGTGGCACTGCCTCCAGCACCTGGTGGGCACGGGTGGCATCACAGCCAAGGAGGACAACTGCTGGAACAGGTGCTTCCTCTCCCGTCAGTGCTCCCAGTGGGGCCAGGCGAGCCAGCAGCCCTCTATCATCCCCAGTGTCCGGCCGGCTCAGGTCCAGCACGAACTTTGGGGCCCGGCCTGCCCGACTGGTCCAGAGAGCCACCAGGCTGCCAGGGTCCCGGATGCGGCAGTGTACCAGGCCAACATCCTCCCAGGCATGTGCCTGCAGCAGGGCCACCAAGATGTCCAATAGTGTCTCCAAAGGGCTAGCCCAGTCCAGCTGCAGGTGGAATGGAGTCTGGGAAGGGGTGGTTATGGTTAGGACTGGTGACCTCCATGTGCCATGATACCCTCCCCACCCCATCATAGCTGTAATAAGTAGAGGTCACCTCAAAAGCTAGGACCTCACCCTGCTTCCTCCTTGCCCACCCCTGCTCTAAACCCTTCTATACTGTCAGCACAAAGTCAGCCTCCTTAGCCTGACATTCGCAGCTTACCTTCCTGGCTCTGACCACCCTGACAGTACCCCACTTGCAGATTTTTGGATGCACTATTCCCCAGCCAGAATATCTTTCACCCTCTATGCCAGACTCCTGCAGTCTTTAAAGCTCAGCTGTGCAGGCTTCTCCATGCTCTAGGCAGAATCCTGGCTCCCTTTCTGAACTCCCTAAGCCTTGGATCACTCCCTCCATCCCAGTCCTGACTTCATCCCATCCCCACCTCCCTGAGAGTCACTCAGAGTCTGAGGGCTATGGTTCTGGACTGCAGCCCTCGTGTTCAGAGCCAATCAGAGCGCTTCCCCCAAAGACCCCTCCTCACACATTATTGCTCCACCATTTGCCAGGCCAACCATGGGCTGGGGACTTGGTGCCGTGTGTGTGTGTGTGTGTGTGTGTGTGTGTGTGTGTGTGTGTCCTGTGAATGTGGGAACTTGCTGTTAGCATGTGGGGTATGAGACAACCCCACCAGACACCTAAGGTGGGCAGTGTGTTGTTGCCTGGGTGGGAACAGGTGCTGAGTGTTAGGGGATGGACCAGGACCCAGCTCCATCCCAGGTCAGTCCCAGACAGGCCAAATCTAAGGTACAGTTCCCAGAGGCTGCAGCAGAGGGCGCGACAGGCCTTGGTTTGGGTCCTGCACCTCCTACTAGACTTAGTAGCATAGGGGACTGGGCCCTGCAGGGTCAATGGCCCTCCTGTAGGACCAGGGTCTCCCTGGAGGAACCTCAAGTTGGGTTTGAAAGGAGGGAGGCTGTGGGAGCTTGGAGCATGTCCCTACCTGTGTCCCCAGATCTACGCCCCCACCAACAAGGCCCCAGTCCTGAGGGGACCCTCACTGCAGGCCCTGGGAGGGGGTCTTTGTCTGAGGTGCAGTGGATCCTGTTGGAGTCCCTGGAGCCCTGCCAGCTGCCCTGCTCTTCTTATCCCTTTTGCTCCCTGAATCTGGACGGGGGTGGGGATTAAGAAGAGACTAAATCCAAGGACCCACAGGGTGGAAAATAAACAGGTGGGAACCTGGGGACCCAAGGGTACCTGGAGGTTGTGGGGAGGAGGGGTGGATCGCCCTTGAGGGTCCCTGGGAGGGAAGGAGAGGATCCTGGGAGGAGGGAGGTCTTGACCTGCACACCCCAAAACTGTCCATCATGGGCGAAGAGGAGACCCGCCTGCCCTCCCAGCCAAGGGTGGAACCAAGGAGGAGAGGGGGTGGGCCCAGGGGGCAGGGGTCTCCCTGCGTCACCAAGCCCCGAAGGGGTCTGCACAGGAGTTCTGCACCCTCAGGGGGGCAGGTCCTGTGGGTGCCGGCGTTCAGGATCCGGAGGCGTCCAGAGGAGCTCCAGTGCCGGCGCCTTGGGGATCCAGTCTTCAGGTCTGGTCTTCAACTAGGGTCTTCCGCGTTTGGGTCACCATCCCCGCTCCCCAGGGACATTTGGCGTCCAGGGATTCGGGTTTCGCGCCCCGCCCCCGCTCCAGGCAGCCCGCGACCTCCCCTCTGGGACCCCTGTCCCAAGACAGCCCAGCCTGGCGGCCTCCGCGCGTACCGGGACGCCAAGGGGCGCGCGCGCCTTCCGTCGCAGCACGCTGAGCACCGGGGTCTCGGTGGCGGCCGCCAGGAACTGCAGCTGCAGCAGCTCGGGCCGCGCCTCGGGAAAGGCTAGCAAGGCCGCCACGCCCGGCGCCGCCAGCGCCTGGCACAGGCCGCGAGCCAGCGAGGCGGGGTCCCGGACGGGGGGCGCAGCGGCCACCAGCTCCAGGCTCAGGTTGTGCGGCAGTCGCGGCTCCAGGGCGGCCTGGGCTAGGGCGGCGTGGACGCGGGCGCGGGCTGCGGGCGTGCGGGGCAGGAGGGCGCCCAGGCGCACGGAGCCCCCCAGACGAGCCAGGTCTCCGCAAGGCTGCGGGTGGCCGCGGGCTGGCCCGGGCCCCAGCGCCAGCGCCAGGCCTAGCAATACTGCCCGCACAAACTCCATCATCGCAAAGTTGCTGCCGGTGTTACCGCGCGGGAGGGTACAGCCAGTTCGACGCGCTCCCGCTCTTCTGGGCAGTGCACCCCGCCTTGCCTCGCCCCACCGCCTGAGAGTCCCCAGCGCCAGCAGCCACTTGGGAGGCGCTGGACCACTGCCAAGGTCTGCGGCTGGCCACTGGGAACGGGGCAGGGCTGAGCACAGCACCCTGCTCCCAGCCTGTGGGACATGTCCCCATCCTACAGATCTGTAGATGAGGAGGCCGCTGGAGGGCTCAGGCAGAAATTTGGGACCTTAAAATTGGCCTTCTTTCCAGAATCCTGGTCCTCCCCGGCCTTCCAGCCTGGGAAATGTTTCCCATTGCTCAGACAGGGAAACTGAGGCCCAAATTTAGATTTGTTCCTGCTTCCAGAGAGCAGTGTCTATCCAGACCAACTTATGACAGTGTTTTAACATTATGTGCAGCCTGTGGAAACTGAGGCAGATATATCTGATAGAAATCTATAGGGTAGATCTGCCTTCTAACCCTGAGCAGGCAACTTGGACCACAGAACTCCTATTCACCCTTTAAAACTCAGTGCCAAATGTCCTGCTCTGAAAAACATTTTCTGCTTAATACCCAGAAAATGCAGAACCTTCTCCTGCAACACTAGCTTCATCCCACACCCTTATCTTCTCCTTCACTTATTTGATGAGTGGGGGACCATCACCCCCACTCAGCTTTGGGAAGGAGGAATGGGTCTGTCTTGGTCACTTCTTGACTTGTTTCTTGCTTGAGCATCCATTGCTCCAGAACCTTCTATAGCTTCCCATGTTCTCTGGGCCTACCTATTCAATTGACCTGGGAACTTTGGGGTCCTTGCATCAGCATACTCTCAATGAACACTGTCCACCTGAACCAGGGACTGAAAGGCTTTCCTGGCCCAGGCAGCCCCTGTCTGGATTCTCTGGTTCATCCTCCAAGAGGGGTTGGCTAGCACCATGGCTGGGAGGAGGTGGGTGTCTCCCAGGATCCTGCAGGATGTCAGGATTGCCAGCAAGGAACACTTAGCATCAATGAATGGATCTACACTTGGCTGATCCTGTCTCCTTCTGGAGCCAATATGAGGGAGGAAAAAAAAATCTCCACTAAGTGAATAAAAATGCCAAATGCCAACCAGCAAAATGGCCTACGTCTTGCTGTGACTTTAAGGAGGGCTGGATGGCTCAGTTCTGCAGATGTGGGCACCTTACCCAGCCACCCAGCCACCCAGCCAAGTATCCAGGTGCATCAGGATGGGGTACCTGAGGTTCTGGATGCTGGTCAATCTGGGACCAGCCTGGCACCTTGGTGCCCCTATCAGGAATCCCCACCCACCCTCCCTGGTGCCACGTGAAGTGCTGTGTTATAGTCCCCTGGGGGTCTGGCAGGCCTCATCCACTCAGAAACAGGATGGTTCTGGGTTGGAGACTATCAGCTAATACTCACATGGCATTAAACATTCCCATGTGTGGGTCCTGGGAAGGCAGCTGAACACAGGATGGCTGAATCCCAGATCTTGTAGGACTCACATTCCTGCGCTGTGCCTCATTTTCCCCATTTGTAGAAACAGAACATTTGTCATTTGTAGTGACAGTAGAACCTTCACTGAGAAAGTGAACACATACAATGTTTTAATTTTTTTATTATGATAAAATATACACAACAAACTTTCCCATTTCTAACTATGCTTATATACTGAAGCACAGTTCAGTGGCAGTAAGTATACTCACATGCCTGCGTGGCTGTTCCCACCATCCACCTCCAGAACTTTCCATCTTCTTAAACTAACTCCCCTCCCTTCCCCTGGGATCCATCATCCTCCTTCTGTCCCTGTAGATCTGAGGACACTAGGGGCCTCCTGGGAGTGGCATCCTCAGTGTGCGTCCTTCTGTGTCTCTTCAATGAGACACAGACCTCAAGATCTCTCCACTTCATGTGTGTCAGAGGCTCCTTCCTCTTGCAGGCTGAGTGCTGCTCCAGCGTGGATGGACCAACATTGGGCTGCTTCCGCCTCCAGGATGTGGTGAACGACCTTGCGGTGCACACATACCTGTCAGGACCTGCTTTCAGGCACTGGCACATAGACCTGCAAGTAGGCTTTCTGGGTCAAAGGTAAATTTTATGCTTAACTTTTTTTGATATTGGGGTTTGAACTCAGGGCCTTATGCTTGCTAGACAGGCGCTCTAGCACTTGAGCCATTCCATCAGCCCTTTTTTGTGTTGAGTATTTTCGAGATAAGGTCTCAAAAACTGTTTGCCTGGTGCTAGCCTCAAACTATGATCCTCCTGATCTGTATCTCCTGAGTAGCTAGGATTATAGGCATGAGCCACCAGCATCTGGACTATGCTTAATTTCTTGAGGAGTCCCGAAATTGTTTCCCACAATAGATGCCCCAGCAGCACACAAGGATGCCAATTTCTCCGTATCCTTGACAACTTTTGCTTTTGGGTAAGAGCTGTCCTTGGATGAGTTGTCCCTCACTGTGGTCTGCATGGAGACCCCTAGACAACCAGCTGACCAGGGTGCTCCCAGGGATGGTGGCTGAGGTCAGCACAGTCCTCATCAAGCTCACCAGTTCCCACTAACCATCCTCCCATGCCTGCTCCCATGTGGGCTGTGGGTGCCCACGAGTTCCTGGTTGTGTAGCCAGCCTCTCCAGGGGGTTGGGGACAGGAGTTTCCATTGTTTGGATCTCACTCAGTCCATAAATTATGAGCTGAGATGAAACCCAAGAACTGTTCTTTTTTGCCACTCCAGGCAAAGTGGTCCCCCAGTGTCACCGGTAGAAGCACAGAAGAGGGACTACATCCAAGGGCCCAGTGTGAAAGATGCATGTAGAGGGGAACAGAAGGCTTCTTAGGTGTGTGCACCTGCCACATCCCTGCTCCACACCTGTGGCACCCCCATAAACACCTACCTTGCTCCTGCCATACCTCTGCTCCTCCACACACTGCTGGGCTCCTGAAGGCTCCCTGCAGGTCTACCAGGGGACATCCCTCTTCTGCAGATGCAGAAATGGAATTTCACCCACCGTGTGCTTGCCTAAGGACTGGAGTCATTTGGGGTCTAGGCTCAGCTGCCCAGAGATGGATCTGCCCTTCATCCCAACTGCCCTTGTCTGGTCTATGGCCTGTGTGACCACAGACCTTTCTGCCTATTGCTATTAATGCTACTCTTGCTGCTACTGCTGTGCAGAGGCAGCGCGTGTCCTGGGTGGGCCACCTGTCTACAGCTGAGTTCCCAGGCCTGAGTCAGAGCCCAGTGGCCAATATAGGGGTTGGGGACCCCCACCACCCTCACTTCAGTCATGGGGGAGGAGGACACACTGAAATGGACTTCCAGGCCTGAAGCAGATGTGGGTGGCAGGGGTCTGAGCAATGCTAGGGTCTTTGGCTGTGGGACCACTTCGGGGGAAGGGGGCAGAAGGAACATCCAGACTGAGGCGGTCAGCTGCCTCAACCCGACTTGCTGGTTCCAGACAGAACTGACTTCACATTTACCATGGACCAGCATACCTAGGCAGGGATGGGGGCTAGGGTCCAGGTGGAGGCCTGGGGTCTCAGGGCTTAGAGTGAGCGAGGTGCAGTGTGTCCTGCTGCCCTGCAGTCACCAGCCCTGGAGGGTGAGATGAGGATAGACTGGGTCCAGCCTATAGGTGGAGAAACTGAACACTGAGTTGGGTCCTATTCCAGAACCCCCAGCTCAGTAAGCCTGGTGGCTGCAGGCCTTGGACCAGCCACATGCAGGAGTGGCTTGTGATGCTGCCCCCATGAAGGACTCTCCCTGTAGAGGGACAAGTCACCAGGCGGGGTGAGCGTGGGTGGCTAAGGAGGACATGGCTAACCTCCAGCAGTGAGGACAGAGCCAGGGACAGGAGCTGGGTGCGTATTTGTCTAAAAGCATGAAATCAGTGCTGGCGCTGACTTGCACTGCGTTCTATTGGCACTCACTAAGTCACAGAGATTTTCAGGATCACTAAGCAGGGCTGTCAGTTGTCGGGGGAGTTTTCTGGAAGGTTCTGAGGACATCTGGGTTGGGCTCCAGGCACCAGCTGGCAGGTTCCCCAGAATTGGGTTGGGGGAGGGATGCGGAGAGAGACTTCCTTAGGTCCTTGGTGTCTTGTCAGGTGATGGTGGTTCATGGGGACCCTGGTGCCCTGAACCTGGCTGGATAGGACCCTCTAGACACTGTTGAAAGGTGCCAGCATGACCACATCTCTGAGATCCCTCCTGGTCCCATGGCTCTGAGGCCACCCCTGCCCTTGGGAGGCTTGGGGCATCTCCCAGCTGCAGGTGGAGCTCTCTGGGCACCTTCAGTTTTCCAAGGGAACAGGTAGTGACAGACCTCTCTGCCCAGGTACCAGAGGATCAGGTGCCCCCCCAGCAGAGGTGTCAGGGTCACAGGGGAGCCCTGCTACTTGGTACTGAGCCCAGGGCTCCTCGGCAGCTGTCCCTGTAGTTAGCTCCCAAAAAAGGGTCAAATGGCCAGCTGCACCTGGTCCCCACAGGAGAATGAGCTGGACATGGCTCAGGACACCCCCCACCCTAGCACCCAACTCTATCCTGATATTCCCCTATGTGACAGCATCCCTCTTGACTAGACCCCCAGCTCCAACTGCTCTGGCTCCCAGCTCAAACCTGCTTCCATGCTGCTCTGCACAGGGCAAGAGAAGCCTTCATGAAGCCCATCAGGGGGAGAGCCTGGGCCACTGCACAAAGGCCCAGTGGCCTTGGTCAGCTTGAGACCTACCTGTAAACCTGGCCTTTGGATAGCAACTTTGAGGAGGCCTCTACCACTACACAAAGGTTTCTAGGGCTGAACTCAGCCACTGGGCCAGGTGGGGACACTCATAGCTGAAGATGAGGGGCTTTTTTGTCCAGTTTTTGTTAAAAACAGAACAGCACCAATGGTACATTAGCGACCAAAACGGCCTAAAGACAAGAAGTAAAAAAAATCGGAACAAGACACAAAATTGGCAAAGCCAGGCTCTGCAGCGCGTTGGCGGCCAAGTCCACAGGCTTTGGTCTCTGGGAGGTTTGTCTACACTCCTGTGGTAGCTGGGGCTGCAGGTGGGCTTGGGGCTTGCAGCCACATCTGAGCAGGAGTGTCCCCTCAGGGTCCAACGTGGGTTACTCTGCTCATGCTCACTTGGCCCGACGTGTGATGATACGTGTAGAAAAGTCAAAGAGGTCACGGTTAATCTTGCGCAGGTTGCAGACTTCATCTTCCAGCTCTGTCACACGTACCCGCAGCTGGTCCTGGCCACCCAGCACATTCTGGAGAAAAGTGGGGATCAGAGGTCAGCAGCCAATCCCACACCAGTAGCAGCAGGATAAAGAGCCCACCCAAGCTGCCTACCTTCTCCATGGTGTTGCATATCACAGCCTGTAGCTGCTCCAGCCGCTCCTGATAGCTGGGCTCTGAGCCCTGCAATGTGGATACAGTGACCTCAGACATGGGCACCTCAGGCCAGCTCCCACACCAAGTGCCAGCCACACTACCCCAGAGAGCTACCGGTGACCCAGCCAGTGAGGTACACCCATGGTTCCATTGGAAGACAGGCTCAGAGGACCCTGCCCCACTGGAAATGAGGTGCGCTTGTCCTTGTAATCTGTCTACTGTCAAGGGCTGAGGCCAGAGAGTCTCTGGAGATAGGTTCAGTTGCACCATGGAAGTAGGACCTGAGCCAGGCCTTAAAGGACCTGTGAAGCCAAGCCAAGAAGACTCTGGAACAGAGGATTTGGTGAGGCTACTGTCTGGAGAGGGGTCCAACAACAGATGCAGGGACATATGCACATCTGGCTGCTGGATGCCTCTGGGGGGCTGTGCTGGGTAGAGTCCTGGGCCCATCCTGGTCATCTATTAGCTGCACCATCAGCCCAGGAGGGCCTTGTGGGCCCTCACAGTGGGGAATAGGCACAGCCTAAGTGTGGCCAAGCTCCAGCCTAGACAACTGGGTGATGCCTACGCATGGAGGGCAGGAGGTTGGGAGAGGCATTACTGGAAGGCCTGGTCCAGGGCCCCTGGAACCTGCTAGGGACAGCTGGGGTGAGGGCAGGGGATATGAGCACTGCTTAGAGGCTATAGGGGACACTCGAGACAATTTGCAACCTCCACTGCCCTGCTAGAGGAGACTGGCTGGACAGACACCTCTGTAAATCGAATTGTGCTGGGGAAAACCGGGGATCAAGAGGCTGGCAGCCACTATTGAAGATATCAGCATTTCCTGACTTCAGAAAATGCCCCCTCTCCCTCCACTGCCTAAGTTCCTGTCCCACCACATGTTCAACACCCCTCAGCCCCCTTCAAATCTTTTCTTTGGAAGAAGAAGTTGAGGCTCCAGTCTCCCAGAGGGAGGACAGAGGTACTAGCTGAGGCTGGGGCCTGTACAGAACACGCACCCTTCAGATAAGATCAACTTGTATTTCAGGTAAGAAAGAACTGCTTAGGGGTAAGTGACAACTGTCCCAGAGTGCCAGTGGGACAGAGAATGACATGGAATAGTAAGACTCCTTGAAGGTCTTCACAGGAAGCTCTCTCTGCCCCAGGGACCCTGAGATGGGCAGGACCCAGCCCAGTCAACAAGGGCACTCTAACGTGTCCTGCAGAGCCTGGCACCAGTGGCTCACATCTGTAATCCCAGCTACTCAGGAGGCAGAGATCAAGAGGATGGAGGTTTGAAGCCAGCCCAGGCAAATTGTTTGAGATACCCTATTTTGAAAAACTCTATCACAAGAAAGGGCTGGTAGAGTGACTCAAGGTTTAGACCCTGAATTCAAGCCCCAGTCCAGGGAGGAGGGCAGGGAGAAGAGGGCATGGGGGGAAGGAGGGGAGTGCCCTAGGGCTGCCCCTGAGGTACAGAATGTTCTGGAACACTGGAGAAGTCCACAAAGGTGCAGGGCTCCCCACCTCCAGCAGAGCAGGTGACTGGTAGGCATGTGGAAAGGCTGCGGGTGGAAGGGATGCAGCTGTACACGCACGGGAACCCACAGGGAGACGCACCTGTTGGTGGAGCCCCAGGCGCAGTGTGAGGCCCCCGTGGCGTGATTCATCCCCATGCTCAGCACCCAGCAAGTGCTTGTTGAAGTGAGGCAGTGGCAGGCTGGGCCGGAAGTCAGAGCTCAGCATGCTAACTGGTGCCAGCATGATGGTCGCGTTGGTCACTGGGCCTGTGGGGAATGGTGGTCAGTAACTTTGCAGGCCAGGCCCTCATGTTCATACCGATCTCATCTGTGGACTTTCGCCCCACCCTAGCATGCTAGGACCAACCCCAGCATAGTGGGGGCTACCATGCACCAGCCACTCACCTTTGAGGGTCACAGTGCGGATACACTGCTTGCTCTGCACGTCCCAGAGCCTCACAGTCTCATCATGGGAGCCCGAGAGCAGCACACTGCCGTCTGTGGACACCGACAAGCATGTCACCTGGTTCCTGGGGCAGGCGGACAAACAGGTATTGGCCGATTCTGGTCTGAGGACAGGATGGCACCCACCCTGCCCCAGGTCACGCGGAGCCCTGCTGGGCACCTGTGCCCTCTGAAGACCTTCCCCACGTCCTGATCTGGCTGGAAGTTCCGTTCCTTCTGTCCAGGCTGTGGGGTGGAGAGGGGTTGTGAACACCAGGAATGTGGCCATGTAGCCCTAAGGCCAGCAGAACCATCCATTCGTCCATCCTCCCACAGCTGCCCAGACACTCACCCAGGAGAAGAGGTCCACCTGGAAGACGGAGCCATCGCTGCCACCGCAGAACATGTGGTGCTCGGCCAGGTCCATGGTCACAGCCATGATGCCCACATCAAACAGAACAGAGAGCAACAGCTCGCCAGAGGAGATCTCCCACAGCTGGGGAAGGGAAGGGTTGGGGTAGGGGCACTGGGAAGATCAGGCCTCTGGGTCTGAGATGTGGACATGCTGCCTGGGGTTGGGCACCTGGGTGGGGGCTGCTGGGGTCCAAGGTGTTTGATCTTCCTGGCATGGGGTTGGTTCTCTCCAGGTGACCCTCCAGCACCTATCCAACCCCCCACCTCCACAAAGAACCAAGGGCAGCCAGGCCTCTGACCCTCCACAGCTCAGCTGGAAGCTGGCTGGCATGGCCAGCTGAGTGGGAATTTCCAGCCGACAGGCCTGGCCTGTTCCCTCTCGGATGTCCTTGGGCTCATGCGTCAGGGATTACAGGCTGTCTGGAGCCCTGGCAGCCCAGGGAGGAGGCAATCAACCCACTCTTATCAGCCAAGAACCTGCAGCTGCCTCTGGCTCACAGATGGCAGGGAGAGGGCACTACCTTCACTGTCTGGTCCAGCGAAGCAGTGGCTACCCGGGCCAGGGGGCCCCCGAAGCCGCAGTGCAGGTCTGTGATGGGGAGCGTGTGGCGAGACCAGACATGACGGGGGGCCAGGATCCTGGAGGGGTCCATCTGCAGCACACTGGGGGAGTGCAGCAGTGGGCTGGAGGAGGGCCTCAGCCCACAGCCCAGACCCACCCTGCTGTCCTTGGCCTATACTGTGGGCAGGTGACCCTGGCCAATTGCCCTGGACTCCCCCGAGCAGCCTCTGCAGCTGAGTGGCCCTCCCAGACACTCAGATACAGCCTGCCCTGGGACCTTGGTGCATCTTTTCCTCAGCCCAGATGAGGCTGGTGTTACCTGCAGAGGCTCCAGGCCAGCACCAGGCAGTCCTTGCCCCCCGAGATGAAGTGGCTGCTGTCACCCGTGAACTTCAGGCATGAAACATCCTGGTAGTGACGGCTCAGAATGACCAGGAGATTCCCAGTGGAGACCTGGAGTGGGCAGGGGCACTGAGTCAAGGAGGAAATGGACCCTCAGCTGCTACAGTGCCCCATCCTGGCTTGGTGGCAGCTATAATCTCTCTGGCTGTCCTATTGGCCAAGTGTACCAACCTTGTCCCCAGCTGCACACAGGGCCCAGGAAGAGATGAGTCTCCTGCATTTTCTCATTCCCCATGCTGCCACCAGGGAGGATGCTCATCCACTGTGACTCTGACCATCCATCTAGTCCTTGACCAGAGCCAACCCTAGGGGTAGCATGGGCCCCCCAGTAGGGGATTCCTGAAGGAAAGGCTGGACTCAGGACCTATAGGTGGTCCCTCAACATCTAGTCCTGGAGGGAAGCCACTATAGGGCTGGGTGCGAGGTTCTCTCAGCAGGGAAGCTGGGCAGCTTGGTCTGAGGAGGAGGCCAGCAAGGTGGTTGTAGCAATGAGAAGAGCCCCCTGCATGACACCTGGAGAGGACCAGGGCCAGGCAGAGACACTGCTGTGGGCCAAACTGTGTCCCCCAAAGTATGTCCAAGTGCTGGTCTCCAGGACCTGTACATGTGACATTGTTTAGAAATAGGGTTGGTCTGGGATGTGGTTTGGTGATGAGTGCTTACCTAGCATATGTGAGTTCCTGAGTTCTACCCCCAGCACTGGTGGAGGAGGGGAAAAAAAGGAAGGAAAAAGAAAAGAAATAGGGCTTTTGCTGATGTGATCAAGATGTAATGAGGTCAGGCTGCAGTAGGAAACACCCTAAATCCAACAACCAGTATTCTTACAAGGAGAAGAAAATTTGAAAACAGAAGCTGGATTCCGGTGGCTCACCCCTGTAATCCTAGTTACTCAGGAGGCAGAGATTAGGAGGATTAAAGTTCGAAGCCAGCTCAGGAACAGAGTTTGCAAAACCCTATCTCGAAAACACCCATCACAAGAAAGGGCTGGTTGAGTGGCTCAAGGTGTAGGCCCTGAGTTCAAACCCCAGCACCACAAAAAAACAAAATACACAGTACTCTTACAAGGAAAAGGAAATTTGAAAACAGACACACAGGGAAGGAAGGGGGCCATGGACTCAGAGATAAGCCTGATTCACCTACAAACCAAGTACTGCCCAGCTGCCCTGGGGAGCTGGAAGAGGTGGGAAGGACCCTTCCTGGCTGTGTAGCCTGTCCATAGTTGAAGTTTGGACTTCAGCCTCCAGGCCAAGAAAGGATACATTTTTGCTGCCTGAAGCTGCCTGTCTGCAGCAGCTGGAGACCTGCAGAGTGAGCTCCACATGGCAAGATAACACCCCTCAGTTTCCTCACTTGTAGGGCAGGGTTGACCCCAGCATGTAGAGGGTTAAATGACATGGCTCCACCATCCAGCTCAAATCTCAAAGAGGGAAGCCTATGAAACCACCAACCTCCAGAAGTTTGGGGGCTGGGACACATGGAGTACCTCCTGGGAAGCCCTTGTTACTGGGAGCCAGCATGAAAGATAGATCTGACAAGACTGGGCTGCCAGATACTGGCTGATGACTCCTTAGCCTTCTCTAAGATTTCCATGCCCCTCCTAACCTAACCCTTACCTACCCCTTACCTAACTCTCCACCCATGCAGAGAAGAGAAATTTCCAACCACAGGTACCAGGCTACCCCGGCTTGGGCTTAGGCTTCTGTTGACCTGTGGGGCTCCCTCTTGTGGTCAGAGCTCAGAATCACCAGAGAGGCAAGGGAGCAGGACCAGGCAGCATCCACCAGCCATTCCCTGTTTGAACAGCTCCTCAGCGAGGGAGACCCTGGATGTCCCATGCAGGTGCCAACCACTGAATTCCTGTCACACATAGCCCACTGCATACCACGCTGCCAGTGACGTGGATGAAAGTGACATGGATGAAGATTCCTACTCTGAAAAGCCCCATTGCTTTGGTTTCCCTCTCTGTGCTCAAGACTTCACCCCAGTTTCAGAATCAAGGGCTGACGGTAAGACCATGATGCCCCTGGCATTCTGGTGGCCCTTGGCTAACTCAGCGATTCTCATTCCCTGGCCATCATTTCTCTGGCTACCCCAGGGGAGACAAAAATGAGGGTAGGAGAGGCAGAAATGTGGCTATCTTTGACCCTGCCTATGCTGTCTATAGTGCTCCATGTAGGGGTAAGGTGAGGACCCCCAATATATCAAAACAGTTTGTAACCGATGCAGGGACAAACTGGAGCTTCAGTGGTAAATAGGTTAATGGCATGCCACCAATCATTAGGACCACCCAGGCTGCTTCTGACCAGACCAGAGCCAAGCAGTTGGCCTATGTGCACAGTGTAAATCAATGACCCTTTGGGCCCTTTACAGAAATAGCCAGTGTTGGGCAGAGGCTGGGCATTGCGTGTGTGAGGGGAGCAGCTAACACCTGGTTTCTCGAGCAGTAAGAAGGGAGCTGAACAACATCACCCTGCCTCCTGTCCCTCTTAATTTTACTTATTTTTTTGATGGTACAGGGATTTGAACTCAGGGCCTTGTGCTTGCCAGGCAGGCATTCTGCCACTTGAGTCATACCCCCAAGCTATTTATTGCTTTGAACTCTGTGCTTCATGCATGCTAGGCAGGTGCTCTACTGCTTGAGCCACACCTCCAGCCCTTTTTATATCCCCCCCACACCCTTTTTAGTTTTTCCTTTCTTTTTTTTCACGTTGCTGAGGATGAACGCAGGGCCTGGAGAGCATGCAAAGCAAATGCTCTCATCAGCTCCTTTGTAATTTAATATCCACCAGGTTCTGCTACCTAGCCACAGGATCCCTGTAGGTTCCTGCTGAGAGTCCTAAGGGCTGGGCTGCACTTTGCTCTGCATGTGTGGACCTGCAGCAGAACTTTAGGGTCCTTTAGGGCTTGGGGTCACGAAGCATAGGCAAGACTCCTAAGCCACCACTATCTGCCTTCTCCCAGATCCTTCTCTGATCCTCAAGGTCACTCCCTTTTGCACTGTAGGTAACTCCAACACCCTCTTACCTCCCACAGGTATATACTTTCTGCTATTCCTGCCAAGACATAGAGGCCATTGGGTGCCGTAGTCAGACAAGTGACAGGTCCGGGACACATGATCTTCTGCTGGAGCTGGTCCTAGGGACACATAATAGGCTCAGGGAAAGTGAGGGGAGAGAAGAGAACCCCTCCTCTCCTCAGAAGCTGGTCCATCAAACCGCTAAGAGGAGCCAGAGTGGGTGGGGGAACAGTCCAACGGAGCAGATTCTGGAGTAAAAGCAGGAAGGCGCTTCCTGTGGGAAGGAAGGGACAAGGCAGAGGGTCCAGGAAGGTGCTGGAGCCCAAGAGCGCAATGGCCAGCTGTCTCTTGCCCCAATCCCACATCCCCTAACGTGACCGTGAGCCTGTCTCCTTGTAAGATAGGAAAATTTCACGTTAGCACTGGCTCGACCAGGCAGAGCCAGAGCTTAGCGCTTGCCGGGAGGGATTTCAGTGGGTGGAAGGGGCAGCAGCGGCCTGAGGGGATGCGTTTTGGGGGACTGACAGAGAAGACATGGCGAGTCCTGATAGTCTCTTTTTTTTGCGGGGCGGGGGAACAAATGCATGTCTCTGGACTATTCCCTTCGCCGTGCTCCCCCAAACCCGGGATCTTCTCTGTCCTCCGAAACCAAAAACTCCAAAGGACCCCGTTCTCTTTTAATCAAATTTAGCGCTCCCGAGCCCGCGCAGGCACAGTTGCTCTAGGGGAAACCCTGCCCCCGGCTGCGCATGTGATAGGCCAGCTCTCCGGGGCAATCCTAGCAGCATCGCGCGTGCGTAAACTCTCTAACCGCGCGACCTCCATTCTCCCCTCCGCGACCCCAACCCCGGACGCTGGCGCGCGGCCAGCTAACCCCTCCTGGCTCTTCTCGCGTCCCGTGCACCCCAGAGGCCCAGGCCGCGCGTCGCACCTTTCGCTGCAGCTCCCAGGCGCTGATGTAGTTCTTGCCCAGTTGCGCCGCCAGCAGGTACTCGTCGTTGAGCAGAGCCAGGCCCCGAGGCCCAGCCTGGCCGCCGCGGTAGGTGAGCAGGTTGGCACCCGAGTGCAGCTCCCACACAACACAACTCCACAGCTGCGCTGCCGTGTCCGTACACACGGCCACCTCCATGGGCGCTGCCATCTTGCTCCGTTGTCCCACCCCGGAAGTGCGTCACCACCAGAGAGACTCCGATATTGTCCTCTTTTTCCCCATGCGGGCTAGAGCGGCGCTTACGCCACCCTAGGGGCGGGGCCGGCGGACCAGCTTGTTCGCGTGTTCTTGGAGGAGGGGTAGGCTGCCCAGGGGAATGGGCTTTTTTGTCACCACGGAGAATTTAGGGCATGGGTGGAGATCTTGGACTGTAACTTTTTCCAAGGTGGAGTGTTTCCTTCGAGCATTTAATAGGTGAAGAGCCTGGAGGTCCATTTCCTGCTGGGCGCTTAAGAACATTTGACCCAACTTCTAGGATTCTTTTTTTTTTTTTTTAATTCCTTTTAAATGTGCAAATACGAAGTACCGACGTTTAGGTCCAAAGGAGACATTGCACATAAAACAGATTTACTCACCTAGCATAACAATATGTCTGGCTGGCAGGCAGTGCATTGTGATTAAATGCTTATTGATCCTCATCCCTTATTGATTCATGTCCCCTTTGACCTTTTCTCTTTGGGCCATAAAATTAAAAATTCTGTTTGGGTTATTTGGCGCAGACCCAACAAGTCACAGCTCCATCTGAGTAGCCCTTAATCTCGGGTCACAGCCGCCAGCCACAGGCCCATACCTAAAAACAGCAATTTTAAAAATGTAGAATTAGTTTCCATGCTTTAAGGGGAGAATTCATGTAAAAGTCGTCTCCAGGTGGAAAGGTGGTCCCAAGGGCCAGGCTCAGTGCTGGACAAGGGGTGCAGCTCCTGAGCCCCTATCCCAAGCCGCTGGGGCTCAGCGGCCTGTGAACCCTACAGGTTGCAGGCAGGGCGAGATGGGGTGGCATGACCCCAGGCCTAGGGAGAGAATTCTAGAGTGAGGAGCTCTGGGCAGAGGCAGGGCCGTGGGCCCAGCGCGCAGCCCAGCGCGGCCGCCAGGTGGCAGGCGTAGACCGCCCACGGGTGGGAGGGACAGGGCCGAGCGGGGACTAGGGAAGCAGAGAGCTACCGGATCTGCCTGGAGGAGGTGTGCCAGGGGGTCGCCGCGAGCCTGGTGGCTTACGCCTGTAATCCTAGCTACTTGGGAGACTGAGATCGGGAGTATCACAGTTTGAGGCCAGCCCAGGCAAATAGTTCTCAAGGCCCCATCTCCAAAATAACCATCAAAATGGACCGAAGGGGTAAGACAAAGGGTAGAAGTATGAAGCCCAGAGTTTAAACCCCAGTCCCACCAAAAAAATAAAATAAAGTAAAGAAGGCCCGCATCTCTGAGTAGGGAACTCTGCAAAGGCTCTGGGGCAGGACCATGAAGGATACTTTGTCCTAGGAGAGGGGAGTGCTCTCTCAGAAGGCTCCTCCTGCCTCAGGTTCCCTCCAGTGTTGTGGGAGTTTTGTTTGATTTTTGCAGTGCTGGGGATGGAACCCAAGGCCTCCACTGTGCATGCTGGGCAAGCTTAGTAAAATTGAGCTGCAGCACAGCTCCTCCAGTGTTGGGTTTTTTTTGGGGGGTGGGGAATAGGGTTTGTATGTGTGTGTTTGTGTGTGTGACTGGGGTTTGAACTCAGGACTTTGAGCTTGCACAGCAGGCACTCTACCATTGGAGCTACACTTCCACACTTCCAGGTCCATTTTGCTTTGCTTATTTTGGAGATGGGGGTCTCTCAAACTATTTCCCCGATGTGGAACTGTGATCCTGTGATCCTCCAGATATCAGCCTCCCAAGTGGGTACGATTTTGATGGCATTGGAGTTTGAACTCAGGGCCTCACACTTGCTGGGCTGGTGCTCTACCACTTGAGCCACTCTGCCAGTCCTTTTTTGTGACTTTTTCTTTTTTGCGGTACTGGGATTTGAACTCAGGGTCTTCACCTTGAGCTATTCCACCAGCCCTGTTGGTGTGATGGGTATTTTTTTTTTTTTTTTTTTTTTTTTTTTTGTGAGATAGGGTCTCTCAAATTATTTTCCCATGGCTGGCTTTGAACCTCAATCCTCCTCATCTCTGCCTCCTGAGTAGCTAGGATTGCAGACATGAGCCACTGGCATCCAGCTGAGAGGGGGCTTTTTGAGACAGGGTCTTTCTGTATAGCTCAGGCTGATCTTGAGCTTTCAGTCCTCCTGCCTCAGCCTCTCAAGTGCTGGGATCATGGTGTACACCACCATGCCTGGCTTCCAGTGCTGGTTCTAAGATATGAATAGGAAAATAAAATCAGACTGGAATCTGACTCAGGGCTGGAGAATGTGGGGCTTGTGCCCAGAGGGGCTGTGCTGGTCTCTGTACCTTGGTTTCCCTGGGAAACCCACACCCTCTGCATCCTCAAATCCAGTAACCAGTGCTAGACCAGGGTCTAGCTGGGTGACCCAGGGCATCCCAAATGTGGTGTTTGTCCTCAGCAGCTGTGACACAGTGGGCTGGCCACATCTTCTAGCTTAGGGATGAAGTACTTTGGCACAAGGCTCTGGGTTTGTTCCACCCCCAGCACTGTGGGGCAGGGGTCACCTTGAAAGCTAACCCTCCTCATTTTCAAATATCAGCCATGGCCTGGGGCTCACTTTGCCACCTGTACCAATAGAGCAGGTCACTGAGCCGCTCCAGGCCCAAGTTTCCCCACCTACATATGGAGGTGCTGTGATTTCCCATGGTGGGCTGGTAGGAGGATTCTGTGAGTTCAGGCCCTGAGTCTGTGTCCTTATGTGGGAAAGTCTGGTTTGGAAGTTTCTAGAGTCTGGGTTCCAGGATTGTGAGGTGGGCCTGTGGGTGTGACTTGCTGGACAGTGGTGGACACAAGGCAGTGACTGCTTCCCTCATAGGCCTCCTGCTTCAACTCAGCCAGTGTCCCCTAGTTCTCCTCTCTGGGGCTGGCTGGCAGGGCTGTCTGTGAGGTCAGAGGTCACCCCACCCCCAGCCGGCCCCTGGAATGAGGACCAGCCAGTTATGCAAGAGCTACTGAGGACAAAAGCCACACTTTGGACCACCCAGTTGCCAGTCTTTAACACAGTGTCTTGGGCTGCTTCTCAGATCTGAGGCTGGGGTGGGCATGGGAACTGGAAGGAACCTGCCCAGGGAAACTGAGGCAAACTTCCCTCCAGCCTTCCTGCCTCATCCTCCTCCCAATCCCAATCCACAAGTCAACCCACAATCCATGCTACATCCCCTACATCAATGCTAATGGTATGAGGAAGGGAGGTGGCCCCAGAGAAAAAAGACATCCAGCCTCCTCCTCTCCTGATGAGCTGGAAAGGTGGGGTCTGAGCCCCTGGAAGCATCCCCAGAGGCTGTGCAGCCTGGGAGTGGGGGGTCCTTAGCTCTCTGTCTGAGCTCTTTGGCCAAGGAATGAAGATCAGGACCAGACCATCTGGTTTGCCTGAAAAGGCCTTTTTTTCGTTGGCCCATCTCTCCCAATGGTAGGCAAACCCTTTCCTCTGGGAAGAGGCGCCTTTCTGGCAGGAATGGATAATGCTGCTTTTCCCGTTGGACGCCATGGACAAAGGGCCACAGGTGAGCACAGGAAGCTGCTGATGCGCAGGTGCAAGACTTGTTTTTCTCTCGCTCTCTATGAAGCAGCCTGGGAGGGACTAGCCGTGGCTGGCCACAGCCGGAGCTGGTGAGCAAGGGGCCAGGTGGCCTCAATCTGGTCAGTCCTACCTGGCCACACTGACCTTGGGTGAGTCTAGTATCCCGAGTGTGGATAACTTGGCTCAGATACCTGGGAAACTTCGTCCAGCAAAATATTTTCAAAATTGCTCTCTGGTTTTGGGTTTGGAGGCTGAGAACTCAAGAGAGTCCAAAGGTCACATGCTGGCCACCCAGTGGCCCTTTGTTCTGTTTCCTTGCGGCCATGTTGTATTGAAAGGTAAAATGTGACAATGTCACCAACAGTGGAGAAGATGCCATCCATCTTACAGAGCACTGGTCCCTGAGGTGAGGCAGGTGACAGCTGCTGGCCTCTGCCAAGGGGGGAAACAAACCCCCAAAGGGAAGTAGTTGTCAAAGCAGGCTTCACCTGGGCTGCTCAAAGGTGGCAGAAGGTGTCACATGTGTCTTGTGCAGAAGACTATGACATCTAGGTCACATAGGACAAAAAGGAGATTTTCAAACCAGGAGGGTGGGTGGGGAGGACGCTCCAGGCAGCAGAATAGCCTTGCAAGGCCTAGAGGCAGGCCCAGGCCACCCCAGGAGTTACAGGGCACCACTACCCCGTGGAGATGACTTAGGGTTCTGTGGCCAAGAATCGTGGGCAGGACTGCCCATCTGGGTCACCTGAATCCCTGAAGTAAGCAAGGACCAGGTGTCCAGCACCAAAGGCCACATCCGTCCACTGTGAGGATAGGGACGGAAGTGCCCAGGAGGTGCCTCAGCCAACATTTAGAGCGGGGTCTCTCCCAGCATTGGAGACACTTGGAACGGAATAGTGGGTGTCCTGGGCCCTGTAGGGTCTATGTCCCCAGACATCACCTAGTGTCCCCTGAGAGCAGAGTTACCCAGTTCAGACCCTTGGGCCAGGGGACTTCATGAACCCCAGGAGACTCTGTATCCATGACTGCCTGTCCTTCTGAGGTCACAGGAACTGCCCACATTGACACACAATTGGAGGTCAGCCCCAGAATCTGGGGTCTCCTGGCTCACAGCATCTGCCCCTTGAGACTGTGCTCTAATGTCTGGTGGCAGTAGGAATGGACTCAATTGTTTTCCCACAATAAGTAAATCACAATTCTTAACATTGGTATCTTAACATCTGGAGCTGAGTCATTCTCTGCAGGGGGGGGGGGCGGGGCGTCCAGGGCCCTGCAGGGTGTCAAACAGAGTTCTGGCCTCCACCTACTCATGCCAGGAGCTCCCTGGCCGTAACAGCCACCAATGTCCCCAGACATGGTTCAGGGTCCCCCGGTGCACAGATCCTGGTGGAGGACCCTGCTTAGCCAGAACTTTCTGCGTCCATGAGCCGGGGTGTACACCACACCACCCAGCCAAAATGTCCCCTAAATTCAGCACAGAACACAGTTTCTCTTCCAGTCAAAAGTGTTTTATCTTGTTTTAATATCTCATCAGCTTTACAGGGTTACAATTGTCTTAAATATTTCTGAAGTTTAAATACAATCTGCATAATAATGTTATTATAAAATGTAAACTTTCAGTGTTTTTTTAAATTTCAAAATCACACTTTTTTTTTTTTTTTTTTTCCTTTTAATACCCGAATGTTCTGCAAAAACTGAAATTGTTGCAGGTCATCCTGCCGCAGCCAAGGCTTGACTGCGGGGCCCAGCCAGAGGTAGAGAACAGTTTATACCTTTATTTAAGTTTTTTTTTTTTTTCCTTTTACCTGAGTTTGGGCGTGATCCGCACGCCATCTGAGAAGTCCCAGAGAAACTGAAATTTCACATGTGGAGAGTGAAAGACTGTGTTTGTGTTTGCCAAGGGGAAACAATGCAAAAGCCAAAATCAGGAAAAGAAACAACATAAAAGGAATGAAGTGGGTGAAAATAACCAAAGGAAAAAGATGCGACTGTACAGATGCCCAAGTCAACAACACCAACCCAGTCACCCCTAGACCCTGGTCCCCATCCACCCACCAGTCCTCACAGCTGGACAGTGTAAGGTCACAGGAAAGATTCTGGAAGCAGCTTGTCCAGGGAGTCCCAGGAACCCATCTTAACCTGAGTTTGGGTCCCACCTGCCAGCCATCAACTCATGGTGCTGGATGGATGGTGCACAGGTCCAGGCTCCTCCCCATCCAGGTTTGCATTAGGGGTGCCTGACTGTAACCCAAAGATACCCCTTTGTACCTCCAGTGGCAGGTGGTGGCTGGGTGACAGTGAGGCTGGTGTAGGATGGGGCAACCAAGACAGAGATAGGACCCTGGACAGTCACAGTTTCTGCCTGGCAGAGGACATGGGTCCCATGGACCCTGTTTCCCAAGTTACGAGAGCTCTGCAAAGCCACATCACGAGCCAAGGTGGCTCAGGGTCCCTTGAGTCAGGATCCAATCCTGCCCAGGCTGTATCACATCACCAACGCACATCCCTGACATATGACACCCCAGATGAGAGACACCTTCCAGCCATGACACCCGTTCAGAGCTTGAGACACAGGTGGGAGCCACAGGTTCCAAGGTCACTGCACCCACAGGACCCTGTGGGGAAGGATGCAAAGCAGGCAGGCAGAGAAGGCAGGTGGGGTGCATGGTTTTTGGCATCAAAGAGACCTGAGGTAGAAAGAAACGTGCGGTGGACATGTTCCCCCTAAGGTAACCTGCTGCAGGGAGAACAGCTGGCTGCTGCCCCAGGGCAGGAGGAGCCATGAGAGGCCAGAGGCATGGCCAACTGTGGCCAGAGAGCAGATGGCTCTCAGAGTGGGGTAAGATTGAGTCTGGGGACAAAAGACCCCCTTTCCCAGGAATGATTGTGCTGCTAAGATACCGGCTCCCAAAATGGGGCAGGCAGACGCTTCTAGAAGGAAAAGCTAAGAGATTCCAGATTACCACCCCCTCCTGGAAGGGGAGGAGGAGGCACATCAACTACCCTGAGATTCAAGAATAAAGAGGGGACCCTCTCTGGAGCCAGGCTGGGGGCTAGTGACCCCCAGGGAAGGGGGCCTGGCAGCCTCGCCTCATGCCCCATTCAGGCTGCCACTTGGCCTCATTAGGCAAGGCTCTCAGGGCCCAATTAGACATCCTGAGCTCACTTGGGACAGCTGGGTGGCTCTCTGCCCTAAGACAGGAAAACCCAGCATAACCATTATGTGTCTTTGCCGGCCTCTGGGGATGATGACCAAGGCAGAGAATCCAGAAAAGTCCCCAAACTCAGCCCCAGCTACATCTGAAATGAAGCTCCTGCTGGGGTGGATGGGATAAGTGTGGATACCAGTTCTTGATGGGGGTGGCCAGGGTCCTTCTGGGCCTAAGTTATTGTTACATTCAGTTATTGTCATGCAGAATTGCAGGAGCTGGCAGCCCATGCACAAGGGGTAGGGAGAAGAGAGGAAAGAGAGAAAGTGGGGTGCTGGGGATGCCATGGCCCCAAAGTCCTCACCCTGAGCTAGGCCCGGCTTCACTCCTGTCCCCCCCACATTGATAGTCCCTAAAAGCAGCCCTCCCAGGCAAGAGAGTCCAGCGTATTCATCCCTGAGACAGGCGAGGCCCCTCCACGCTGCTCTGGGCCTCTTCCTTCAGCACTTTCTACATCCTATGTCTGGATCCTGGATGATCTGGCAGGCAATACCCCTTATGGAGATCACACCAGTCACCTACCAGGGACCAGGCACATAGCCCCTGAGTCAAGGGATCCAGTGTCCTGGGCTTGCCAGCTGCCATTGCCACAAGAATCACATAGGAACCCAAGCTGGTCACAGGAAAGAGAAACAGGTTATTATGGTTTCTTTGTTTTTTAAGACCATCTCCCTGAATGAACACAAATATATAGATATAGAGCTATATAGATATCCTTTTCCTAAGTTTGATCCCCTCAAGAATAAAATAGAATATTTACAAAGCAAAACCCCCAAAACCTCTTTAAAAAATCCTAGAGTTTGAATGTTGCTATTTCTTAAAAAAAAAGAAAGAAAATCATAGCTCCCAAAGCAACAAAAAATCTCAGTGATCTTGGCTCAGGGGTTTCATTCAACACAAGGAGCTGGTGTGATGAATGTGTGGTGCGTTTAAAAAAACCAAAGGAAAAAGAAACAAAACAAAACAAAAACAGGCACAAATGAGAAATGCACACTGCGGAGACGCATGAGGTAAACAGGTTGCTTTCAACATGGCAGCTGGTCCAAGCTGGACCCCAGGGAAGCCCAGAACCGCTGCTCCTTGTTTTGGGATTTCCTTGGTGATCCTCACGATCCATCTCTCTGAATGTCCAAAACCTGAGAAATTCAAGTTCGTTCCTTGGTTGTCCCCTGTTTTATTAAATCTGCTTTATATAAATATATACATACATATATGTAATACATATATATGTATATATATATACACACATATATGTAATACATATATATGTATATATATATACACACACACACATATACATATACATATATATGTGTGTATATATCTTTTTCTCTCCTTTTTGGCGTCATTGTAGCTCTGCTGTGGATCTCTGCCCACCCCACCCGTTTCTTCGGCCTCCTGGCCCCTGTGTGACCACCTGGAGCCCCTGCCCGGCTGGCAGCTCCTGGGGGAGGTGCTGGGTGGGCAGTGATGCGATGTGGTTAGTTAAGGCAAGGAATTATTTGAGGTAGAAGATGGGGGTGCAGACAGCCCTGCTGACCCGGCCTGGCTGCCCGTGCTGCTGCTGCTGCTGCTGCTGGTCCCACCGGTTCCTCCCCGGCTGCCAGTGTTGTTGTTGCCACTCCCACCACCACCACCACCACCGCCTTTGCTGGGAGCTGAGGATGGCGTGGGGGCCTGTGGCTGGGCAAACAGCACTCCTGGTGCAAGGACAAAAGGAGAGATAGGTCACAGATGGCTGGTCGTTTTACCTATGAAAGGATGAGGGGGATGGGTACTGGACATCGGGCCAGGAGTCCCCCAGGCATGGATTGCTTGGCTCTTTCCAGGACTGTGCTGACCTCTCACCCCCAACCCCCCCCCAAAATAAAAGTTCAGCTCTGGTTTGATCAGACCCCAATGGCCTTGACTAAGCCTTGGTCCCATTAACTGTCTACCAGGCAACAAGCCTGCCCTGTGTCCACAGTGCCATCCAGTGTCCTCTGTGAGCCATTGTTTGAACCCACTGTTTTAAAGGAGTGTGTGCCTGGCATGTGGGAGACCCTAGGTTCATCCCCAGCACCAAAAAAAAAAAATAAATAAATAATACAAAAAAGAAAGACATTAGGAGGTGGGCAAAGTGGTATGCATGTCTTCCCAGCTACTAGGAAGGTAGGTCACTTGAGCCCAGATTTTGAGTGAAATAAAACAATGCCGGTGTGGCAGTACACTATAATTCTAGCATTTGGGAGGCTGAGGCAGGATAGTCTAGGCCAGCCTGAGCTACACAGCCAGGCCCTGCAAAAGGCTGGGCATGGTGGTGGCTCATGCCTGTATTCCCAGCACAGTAGGTAGAAGTGGGGAGAATTGAGGCTCCAGGCCAACCTTAGTGGGACCCCTTTCAATTAATAAACTGGATGTGGTGGGGGTACATCTGTAATCCCAGCTATGCGTGAAGTATAAATAGGAGGATCACAGTCTGGGGCCAGCCCAGACAAAAACATGAGACCTATCTAAAAATAAATAAATAAATAAAAATAAAAATTACTGAAGCAAACAAGGCTGAGGGTCCTGGATCAAGTGACAGAACACCTGTCTAGTGTGAGGCTCTGAGTTCAAACCCCAGTAGGGCCAAAAAACAAAACAAAAAATCCTTTTACCCCCCGACCCTTCCCAAAAAAAGGAAACTTGAAAAGCCATTCACAATAGCAGAAACTTAGAGCACCTCCTGCCTAACAAGTGTGAGGTCCCATCACAGAATGATGAGCAGGCATGTGCAAAGTCAGTGCTAATACACGACTGAGATGACCAGTTCACATTCCCTTCGGGAAGATGCTTTCTGGCTGGTCCTTGCTGCGTCTCCCAGAGCTGCGAGCACAGGGGGGCAGCGCCAGGGCACGGCCTGGGTCCTACCTGTATACATGATGCCATTCATCTCCACAGACATGCTAATACTGCTGCTGCCATTGGCACTCGTCAGGTTCACGGCTGAGTCCTGGCGGCTCTCAGAGGCTGTGGGGAGAAGAGAATTCACCAGTCACAAGTGCAGATACCTCTGGGCAACTGCCTGCTTTGTGTCTGTTTCTACCACTTGCCCTTTTTTGGTGATACTGTATTTTGAACTTGGGGATGCACACTTGCTAGGCAGGTGCTCTATCTCTTGAGCCACAACACCAGCCCTTTTTGCATCACGTTTTTTAATAAGGTCTCACATTTATGCAAGATCCTCCTATTTATGCTTCCCATGCAGCTGGGATGACAGGTGCACACCACCTGCCCAGCCTTTGATTTAGATGGGGTCTTGCAAACATTTTGCCTGGGAGAGTCAAACCATAATCCTCTGGATTCCTGCCTCCTGAGCAGCTGGGATTACAGACATGAGTCACAAAGCCTTGTTTGCTGCAGTGCTGGGATGGAACCCAGGACCTCACACATGCCAGGCATGCACTGAACACTTGCCCCAGAGCTTAAGACATTAGTGCGTCTTATTCTTTTAAATAATGACTTGGAGCTGGGTAGAGGCGCAGCTCAGTGGCAGAGGGCTTGCCAGGCCTGCACAAGGCTCTGAGTTCTACCGCAGCACTGCTAATAAATAACAATTGACTTATTCATTCTCCACCAATGGACACATGACAAATGGCACCATGCAAATGACTGCAACAAACAGCTGGCCCTCAGTATCCACATCTATGGATTTAACCAACTGTGGACTGCAAATACTCAGGAGGAAAAAACTGCATCTGGGGACAGAGGTGTGGCACAAGTGGTAGAGTGCCTGCCCACCTAGCAAGTATGAGGCCCTGGATTCAATTCGCAAATATTGCCCCCATCCCCCATTGCATCTGTACTGAACACGTAGATTTTTTTCTTATCACTATTCCCTAAGTATTACAATGTAACAACTGACTACACAGTGTGTACAGTATCCATAAGGTGTCCATAAGGGAAGAGCTCAGGGTCTGTGCAAAAGCTATACCATTTTACATGGGGAAGTTGGGCATCCTGGCATTGTGACATGAGGGAGGTTCCCGGGACTGAGTCCTGGGGACAATGACTCTGCTTGCAGGTACCAAGAAGGTTGGAGTGGGTCACAGGGGAACACACTTTCTATTTTAAAAGAGATTGCCAAGGTTTCCTATTTACACTGTCACCAGCAAGAGCAAGGAGGTGGTGTCCTCAGGGACCTCACATCTGATTTCTGTTTTTCTTTTGCTGTTGGGGATGAACCCAGGCCCTTGTGCATGCTAGGTAAGCATTCACCACTTACCCACAGCCCTTACATTTTTTGAGACAGGCAGGATCCCACTGTATGTTGTCCAGGCTGGCACTGAACTTGCTTACTATGGTAGCCCATGCTGGCCTGAAACTAATCCTCCTGCCTCAACCTCCTGAGTGTTGGGATTACAAGCATGAATCATCACACCTGTTTCAATCACTTGTTAATCATCTTGTAACTTGCAGATCAGATCACCAACTACATGGAATTGAACAGCTTTTCATGGGAATTTTCTAGTCCTAGTTGCCCTTTCTTTCCTGCTATTTTGCCTTTTTTTCTTATTGATTTGCTAATACTCTTTGCATAGGATGCGCTTAGGCTCTTATTTTCATCCTGCACACAGGACACACAAAGCGTCTGGGCATGGGGTTGGTACCTTGGCTGTTGATCCGAATGCTCATGGGCAGCTGGGCCGTCATGGCCAGGAAATTCTGCTGCAGTGCTCGCTGCATGAGCCGCTGGTGTTCATCTGCTACCAGAGCCATCTTCTTCTCGGGAGGCTCTCCAGACTCTAGCTTCTCCCGGAGTTGTTCCAGGGCAGCCGCCTGGGCTGCTACAGCTGCTTGGGCTGCTGCTGCTTGCACAGCAGCCGCCTGGGCTGCCACCACGGGGTGGCCTGCTAGGGACACCGGCAAGCGGCCAGGGACTGTGATGGGGATGGCTGAGTCCTCTTCTAGACAGGCACAAGAGGAGCAGGTGGTCAGAAGGGATCTGAGGGCCTGAACTTGCCTTCCACCCAAAGCAGGAGGGGAACAGACACCTCTACTGACAGGTGTTCACATCCTCTCCAAGGAAGGAGACACAAACACTGTACGCTCCCTTGTCAGGCTCTCTAAAGGACAGGGGTGACACTGGTGAGGCCAATGGTACTAATTATAATAAATGCATCATAGCAGCACTTAGCACCCAAGTCATATAGAAAATAAACAACAGGAGCCTACAAATCTTATCCAAGCATCTGGTGTAAATTGCCTGGGTGCATCCTCTTCACACCCCACGCCTACCGGGACACACTTATTACCCCATTTGACAGGCGAGGAAACAGGCTCAGAGACAATGGACAGCCTCCCCAAGGCCACAGAACACGTGAGGGGATCGGTTGAGATTCAAACCTGGAGAGCCCGACTACCTTTTCTTTGGCTGAAAGGAACATCCTCGTGGTTCCCACACATAGGTTCCACTCTGACCTGTGGCATCTTCTCCCTAAATGCTCCCTCCCGTCTTTAGCCTGGTGTTGCCTCCTGCTGCTGTCTAGGTTCCTGCTCCAGACCTCTGCAACCTCCATGCCCTCTGTCCTCAGCTTTGAGTCTGGAAATCTCTTCTGGTCTGGTCAAATGCCACCTTTGCAGGAGTTCCCTGCACCCCTCAATCTGCCTTCCCATAGTTGCCGACCTCTCAATGCCTCAACACTGTGGCTGCTCTCTGGTGAGCTTCACCAAGTCAGAACTTCTCTTGTCTACCTTTATCTCCCCAGCCCCGGCCTGCGGCCTGGACGCCACAGATGCCAGCAGGATAAACCAAGGCACAGAAGACTGAATGAGCTCATACTGACGCCGTTCCCCTTAGCTTCGGCCAGTCCTTAACTTCAGCGCACTGTTGGGTCACTTTGCATCCCAGGACAACCCTGGCAAGTAGGGAGTCCCCAGAATATGTGGTGGGCATGCAGTGTTGATGTTTCTGTGTTAGAAAAGATTCAGAAGCTCAGCAGGAGAGAAAAACTGCCACCCACCAGTGATGTCTACCACAGAGGGGGTACTCCTTGTCAGGTATGTGCAAACCTAGGCCTGGGGCACGCTCAGTGAACGACTAGTGATGTCTGCAACGGGCACAGCAGTGGACAGATGGGAGTTTGCCTCCTTGCCCACCTTGGGTTTACCGTGGTTATCTGGGGAGGAGAAAGAGTGTCCCCTAGGGTGACATTAGAGTGAGTCTCACACTCTGCCCCTCACCTTTCTTAATCTTGGGGGCTGGGGTGATGGAGCTGCCATTGGTGCTGGCAGCCAAGCCCAGGGAAGGCACGGGTAGCTTGGGCGAGGACAGCATGCCATGGGCCCCGCCTGGTGAATATGCGAACAGTGAGCCCCCGAAGCTCTGGCGCCGGCCTTCCCTACGGTTGCTGTCGATAGCTGCCTGGAGTTCATTGGGACTGCTCAGGCCTCGCCTCTCACACTCGTAAGGGTACAAGTACTTCATGTACCTGTGGGCAGGGGGACAAGATGGTATCTGAGCCCCAGAGGTACCCCTGGCCCTTGGCACAAGGCAAAGCCCCGGGTGGTGGTACCATTTCATCTCCCCAGGTCCACTGGGCCTCTGCCCAGACTCAGGGAGGGGGTGGGTCAACCCAGGGACCCCAGCCCTCCAACTTCTCTGGCTCCTGCACGCTGCCCTTGCCCAGGCTGTCCAGCCCTGCACAGCCACTCACTGGGTCCGCAAGGTGAAGGCAGCACTGGTGATGGACGTTGGCAGGTTGAGGCCTTTGGTGATCTCTCGCCACAGCTTCTTGTTGATGACCTCCACCAGGCCTCCCTTCTCCGTCACCAGCACGTACAGCATAAACAAGTCCAGCACCTGCTTGGCCATGATTGGGATGCGGTTCACGGGTGTGCCTGCGGGACGGGGGCTCGGGTGAGGCCAGTGCCATTGCGGGTGCCAGGTCTAGCTGGCGCAGGACCTGGTGACAGCTGCCCATGGTGCTGTGCACACTGAGCTGATCATCCTCTCAGGGAGCTTCCTAGGCCCTGCAGAGCACTGAGCAGTGTCCCCCAGCCTCCACCCACATCATGCAGGAACTCTCCAGCCATGACAGCCACACATGTCCCAGGACATGGCCCAGGGTCCCCCAAGGACATCACCCTGGGTGGGACACCTGCTGCAGAGTACTCCAAAAAGGCAGCCTTGCCTCAGCATCTCCGTGAGCAATTCGGGTCCTAAATAAGCTTCAGGAGCAGGGAAGAGGTTAGAAGAGGAGCAGTGCTGACATGGAGATGGGCAGGCTACTCATAGGCGTTTGTTATCCCCCCTCCCAGTCTCCAACCACAACAGCTGCCAAAACAACTCAGCCTGCGTTCCCAGGGGCACGTTCTTCCCCATCCTGGTCCCTCAGGGGCTGTGCAAGCTCAGGTGGGGGCTGGGAGGACTTGACTAACTTGAATTTCAGTTTACTAGCCCTGTGAGAGAGACAGTGGGAGGAAAGTGGAAAGTTAGCCCAGAGATGGAGGGGGGTTTGGGCCAGCTCAGGGATGGAGGTGGCATGCTAGCCCAGGGAGCAAAGTAGTGTGGCTGGCCCAGGGAGGGCCCAACCTGTACCTAGTGTCTGCTCTACCAACGCTCCCTGCCCTTCTACCCTCCCAGACTTCCCCAGGGCTTTCTCCACCTCCCATTTTCAGGCCTTCAACCTCAGAGTCTAGCCTAGCCTGGGCTCAGGGCCAGGGGATGCCCAACTCCTAACATCTCGCCAGCCTGTGAAATCCTAGGCTCATGAGACAGTCTGGTTTGCCACCTTGCTTACAAAGGGTCTCCAGCACTCAGCCTGGCATACCACAGGCACTCAAATAACAGTGAAGGCTGATGGGCTCACATTCCAGGCCAGAGCTGCCAACCACCAATCCTAGCCCCATGAAGGGAGAACTTTCCTGCCCCTTTAGGGATGGGGAAACTGAGGCTCAGGGACATGATCCAGTTTGAGCAAGGAGCCAGCTCACCTTCCCCCAGCTGCCTGATAGCCTCCCTTCTCCCAGGCCCCTTAAAACGAAGCATTCCACCACCTACCACCTCCGGCCACTCTTGGCCACTTCCTGCCTTTTCCAGGTTGCAAAAGCCCCAGTGAATGGAGCAAACCCTGGGGGAGGAGGAAGCTGGACCTCAGACCGCCACCCTGTCCAAATCCCATTTCTCAGTCCGAAGTCTCAGCTGCACAAACAGCCCCTTCCCCACTAAGGATGGTGGTTGCCACCTAGCAAAGAAAGCCATAGCAAAGACCCTTCGGGAGGGCTGCAGAGCAGGGCGGCGGGAGGAGAGGAGGATGTTTATGGAATGCTGCGCTTGACTGGATAAGGAAGGGCGGGGAGCCACCAGGGAAAGAGCAGGGCCAGCTGCTCAGGCTGCTGAGGCTACACGGGGTACAAGCAGGACCCCTCCCCTCATTTCCAGTTCCCAGAGAGTTCTGAGAGAAATCTGCTTAAAGCCTTTTCATTTCCAAAGCAGGAACAAAATTACTTCTCCTCTGTCTAGAGTAAAGGACAAATGGTCTTGTGGGGTGCAGAATGTAGAAATTAGAGGTTTGGAAAAATTCTTAGCCCCAAGTTCCCTTAATTACAGAGGGAGAAGAGTTCAGGAAAATAGGAAAGAAGAGGTGGCCTTGGGCGGGTTTCAAGGGATGCATAGGAGTTTTTGGTTTCTGTTCTCCACGACTGCCTAGCTTAGAGAGAGAGGTAGGACTGGACAGATTCCCATGGCCCTGTGTGTGCCATGAAGCATCTGGGATTCCCCCAGCCTCACTGGCCACATTCATGGGCATCTCTCTGTACTGCTGTATGCCTTCAGGGCACCAGGCATCATGTTGGCCACTGGGGACCAAGGAAAATGGTCCACCCTGAGCCTGGGAGCTGGAGGCCCCCAGCAGAGTGTCAGGGGGTCTTGGGCAGGTGTGGACAGATGATAAAGACATGGAGGAGATCTCTCCGGCCACACAAGGGGCAGAAGAGCTGGCTGGGGCTGGGCCCTGAGGATAACACAGAGGGGCCCCCACCTAGACACTCAGCCTGAATGCCCCACCCCGGCACTGGAGGGGTTAACTCAGAGGCCACTGGGCTGGGCAGTGGGGTCTGAGAGGCTGCAGCCCCCCTTCTCCTTCCCTTCCGGCCTGGTGGCCTGTGTTTACACAAGCGAGGGAGGGGCAAGGGCGGGCCCAAAGCAGGCGGCTGGCCTGCAAGGGGCCCCTGATGGACTCCGTCCTCTCTGCCCCTTCCTGCTCAGTGGGCCCCCAGGCCACTGCCCCTCCCTGGGCCTCAGTTTCCTGCCCTGAAACACAGGGATGGTAACTATCTTGCGTCCAGGGCTGTCCGGGGATTGGAGGTGCAAGTCCTCCCTTGTGGTGCATGCTCTTGGAACCCTACCAGCAGAGACCAGGACTCCAGGGCAGGAACGAGGTTCTGACCCCAGTCTGCCCTGTGGTCACTCCGGGCTGAGGGTCAGGCCCTAGATGCAGCTATAGGGGACACCCTGCTGTCCTTTATAACCACTGAGCCTGGTTTTTCCTGAGTGTAAGGCCCTGGGTCTGAGTTTTCCTAACTGCCCAGACCTGCCCTCAACTGGTCCCTGCACAAACCTGGTCATCCCGAGGTTTTCACTTCCCAGTGGGTCAGAGTCTGTGTCTAGCTCACTCAAGCCCAGGAGGGATTAGGGGGAGACAAGCTGCAGAGGTGACCCTGGGCTGGCGCACTGTGCTCAATGAGCGCCTGCAATAGACCAGTAACCCCACACTCAGTGTGTTTCAGACGGCTAGGCTGCTGACACATGGCATGGACTGTGTGTGGCCCATCCTACAGATGGGGAAACTGAGGCCCCTAGTGGGAGTGTGGGAGGGGCTGGGCCTGGAGCCATAGGAGCATCAGCCATGAGGACCTACATGGGCTCTGATCCCATTCCCCAGAGGTCAACCCTGTCCCTCACCTGTAGGCACCTCTGAGGAGGCCCTGGGGGCCATCCTCTGCATCTCACAAGAGGAGGCCTGAGCCAGGTGCCATTGGCTCACGCCTGTAATCCTAGTTACTCAGGAGGCAGAGATCAGGAGGATTGTGGTTCAAAATCAGCCTGGGGAAATAGTTTGTGAGACCCTATCCTAAAAACATCCAACACAAAAAAGAGCTGGTGGGGTGGGTCAAGTGGTAGAGCACCTGACTAGCAAGTGTGAGACCCTGAGTTTAAGCCTCAGTACCTCCAAAAAGAAAAGAAAAGAAAAAAAATAAGGGAGAAAGAGAGCGAGCGAGTGAGAGTGCCTAGACTTGTCAGCTCTGGAATGTCAGGTCCCCCCATACCTCCCCATAACAGGACACTGCCTTTCCCATCAGACCCCATGGCAGGGCCCCACCTCGTCCATCAGACCCCACAACAGGGCCCTGCCTCCCATCTGAACCCTTGTCAGGACCCTACCTCTCCCATCAGATGCTCACAACAGGATCCTGCCTCCCAAAAGGCTCCGATGGCAGGACCCCGCCTTCCCCATCTGACTCCTGCACAGGCCACCTCCCCTAGCATGCCTCTCCTCAGAAGCCTGAGAGACTGGGGGGCCTCTAGCTAGGAGCTCCCAGCCACCCACATGCTGCCCCCAGGGTCCTCCTGCACACCCTGGCAGGTGGACTCACCGCGCTTCTGCATGAAGCTGAATAGGTCATCCAGAAACTCCTTCCTCTTGGGGTCCCCATCAAGTTCATAGAGCTGCAGAGAGAGGGTACAGGTCACTGGGTGCCAGAGTGAGGATGGGGGTCATGTCCCCACTGCCTGGGGCAGAGCTAAGGGCCCCAGTTCTCCCTGAGCTCCAGCAGGATCTGAACATCTTGTGAGGCTCCTGGACAAACAGTGAAGCTAACCCCACAGTGTGAGTGTTTGTGGGGGCCCAACCCCACAAACTGGGAGTCTCAAAACAACAGAAGATTGATGTCCCTCCCCCGGCCCTAGAGGTCAGAGTCTGACACCCAGGTTCCAGGATCCCTCCCAGGCCCCAAGGAGGCCTCTGCCAGCATCACAGGGCTCTGGTGTCCGTAGGCTTCTGACCATCACCATAACCTCTGCCTCATGGCCACATCTCCGTGTCTCTGTCTTTCCTCCTCGAAGGACCACAGCCCACTGGGAGTGGGGTCTCCTCACCTTACCTCCACCCCTAACCAATTCCATCTGCAAAGACCCCATTCCCAAACGAAGTCCCTTCCCTGTGCTGAATCCTCAACACATCCTGGCGGGGAGTGGGGAAGAGGCCGCAAATTCATCCTACCACAGTGGCCTCACCAGGCTCACACAGAATGTACCAGGACCATCCAAGAATCACACACAGGGGCATTTGCTCTCAAAAGACAGACGAGGAAACTGAGGTATGGTGACAGGTGTTAAAGCCTGGGACAGTTGAGGACCCTTGTCTCCACGCTCAGTTTGTTGCACAGACAGCTGCCCGGCATCTGAGCCCCTGAGGTCTCATCCTTGGCTACAAAGTGAGCCAGCAACCTGTGTGTCAGGACTTTGGTCAAGAAAGAGATGACACAGGAGGGAAGAGGCCTGTCTGGACATGGGGGTGGGGTGCCATGGGCCTGGTCCCTCTGACCTCCAGTGCACAGGTTCCAGGGAGTGAGCAGGGGGAAGCGGGCAGAGATAATTACAAAGCAGAGCTCAGGCAGGGGCCAATTTGCCCGGGAGGTGCAGAACCAAATACCAGTTTTCAAGTTAAGCTCCCGGGAATGCAGCCTGTGGACTTGGGGGGGTGTGGGGGGGGTGGAGGGGGGGTTGTTGAAACCACCAATTAGGCCTCAGCTGGGAGTATCTGTCCTTAGGTCCCCAGGTCCTGGTCTTAGCTCAGTATGTGTTGCTGGGACACTCCCTGCCACTTTTCTCCTCTTTGGGCCTCACTTTCCCCCAAAGAGGACCTTCTGGAAAGGGTTGCCAGGGACCCAGGCCTCTGCCCTGGGTGGTCAAGGCGTGCAGAGGGCCAGCTGCTGGGCCTTTGTCTGTGCCCCACCCTGGCCAGCGCCAGACTGGCCGGCCTGCATTCCTGTGCTGATTTATGGTGGCCTGGGAGGCCCGTTTCCCCTTGAGCTGCCTGAGGGGTGCGGGGCTTGCAGGTAAACCCAGCTGGCCATGCTGGGCCCGTCTCTAGGGTGTGTGTGCTGGCCTGGGGGCTCTCCCACCCTCAGCCCATGGCTTCATGCCAGTGTCTAGAATTATCTACTGCCCCCCACATCTAGCATTGGGCCAGGCATGGAGCAACTGCTTAATAAATGCTCTTCAAATGGACCCCTGAGTTTCTCAGCTGCCATATGGGCTCGGCAGGGCAAAGGGATGTGACATTGGACAGAGCTGTGGGTAGAATGACCTGATAAGGCAGTAGGTAGCAGAGTTCCCCACAAAGTCACATCTCCCTGGAACCTCAAAAGAGGATTGTATTGTAAAAAAAGGGGCTTTATCATTAGGTAAAATGAAGTCACACTGGAGTGAGTGGGGTGGACCATAATTCAGGGACAGGGGACACAGAGACAGACAGAGAGACATCTGTGTGGCGATGGGTGCAAAGACTGGGGTGATGAGGCCACAAGGCCACGATGCTGGTGGAGGCAGGAAGGACCACCCTGGGGCCTGCACAGGCCCAACTTCCAGTCCCAGGGACCAAGGCCTGGAACCCCCAGGTCCTTCCTGGACAAGGGAGACAATTCCTCAAGGCTCTGACATAGGTGGGGTCCACCCTGCCTGAAGCCCTTCTTGGGCCAAGCTCCCCACAAGAGACCTATTGGTCCCTCTTTCCTCCCCATCTTTCATGAAAAGTGTGCAGTAAAATCCAAATGGTGGGCATGGCTCAAATGGTAGAGTGCCTGTCTAGAAAGTGAGGCCCTGGATTCAAACCCCTGCACTGCAAAATAAATAAATAAATAGATAGATAGATAAATAAATCCTAATGGCTTTAACCCGAGTTAAACCATCATGGCCTGGTATCCCAGGTACGGAAACTGAGGCTCAGGGTAGAGAACAGCTGCATTACATTGTCCAGTCGAAGTGGGAAGGGGCCATTAAGCCGCAGGCCAAATGGTGGACTAGGGCTTGCTGGCAGGGCATGGTTGGACCCCTATGGAGTTGGACCATTTATTTGAGGCCATAAATGGGGTCCCATGGGGCCCCTCAGCTGCGGGTAGAAGAGGCAGCTTTCTTGTGGGCAGCTGACAACAAAGACAGGCAGTAAAGGCTGCCCCAGCTTTATGGGGCTCTGGCCCCTAGTTCCGCTCCCCTGTAGGGTATGTCTCGCCCTGGACAGCTGGCCAGAGCCCCACAGAACAGTGTCCAAGCCCCCCTCCCTTGGGGACCTGTGGGCTCAGCAGCCTGTCCTGAGAAGGCTGAGGCCATATTGCCAAGCCACAAAATGTCCCATTCTAAATGCAAGCCTCAGCCCACCCTGGCTCTCCTTCTCAAAGGTGAGAAGTTGGTGACCACATACCCCAGATCCTCAACCCTGGAAGGGGACCCAGCAAAAGTCAGGAGACCCCTCTGTGGGGCTGGGGGCTGGCAGTTGAGACACAGCCCTAACTCCTCCTCAGCCTGATTTCCTGGGGCACATGGCTGCCCGTACTTTGTCACAAGGCTGTTACTGACGATCTCTGGTTTGCTGGCTGCCCCTCTTCCTCCTGGCCCTTCACCTTGCATTATGTGCGTTCACATGGGTCTGGGTTCTGGTCCTTCAGCCCTAAATGCGAGGGATTTTTGTCTATTTCCCCCCCCGCCCCCCCCACCTAGAATTGAGTTTTGCACACACCAGTTGTTTAATAAATACTCGTTGAATGAGCTTCATTTCTCAACACAATGACCTTTTCTAAACCTGCTGTGGCCTGGGGCAGGTAGTCCCATCCAGGCTCAATTTGTCAATCTACAAAATGAGTACAAAGCCTGGGTGGGGAAGAACGCAGGAGTGGAAAGCAGGCACTTGCTAAGTGCACACTGTCCTTCTTCATTTCCACCTGCGAAGTGGAGGTGTTTAAACCCCTCCCCGGCTCCCCACTGGGTAGGGTTATGGGAGGCACGCATGGCTTAGGTCACTTAGTCCCCTCAGATCTCTCTTAGCCAAGGGAGGGCTCTTATTCCCCATCCATGATGAAGAGTGTCAATCAATGTTCACCAAGTTTGCGCTGCCTCCCTAGAACCACCCATTTCATAGATAGGGAAACCGAGGTACAGATAAAATGAGGCCTAGCACCCTCTGCCTCCCCTCCTGCCAGGCCCTTCTCCACTCTGTTACCAGAGGAGCTGTTCTCAGCAGTCAAGCATGGCTCTCTCACCCTCTGCTTTAGCCATGTGGAGTCTTTCCGCTGCTTTTTGAGCAAAACACACACCCCAGGGCCTTTGCACTGGCTGTGACCTCTGTCCTAGATACAGTTCCCAGGTCTTCTTCCTACCTTTCTCCCTCTGCTCCTTTAGTTCCCTTCCCAGCAGATGAACCAGGAGACACTGCACAAATGCTCCTTATGTGGATGAATGAAAGAGCTGTCTGGTTCCATACTTACCACGCTCCCCCTCACTCTGGGAGCCTGGAGAGAATGGAAGAGCATGGGGTGTAAGGGTCTGGGGTGGACACTACGAAGAGCAGGGCTCAAGTGTGGCCCTGGTAGGGAAGGAGGAAAGGTGAGCCAACCCCCAGCTCTGAGCAGCAAGCTCAAAGTTCCTATCGTTTTAGGGGATTGATTACATTGTTGACCAGGCTGAGGTAGCCCCAGGCCACCCAGGAGTGGGCACAAGACCCTTGCAAACTGGGGTGCTCAGCCCGGACCCCTCCTTATCCCACCTCTGGCTAGGAAAAGACCTACAGCTCACAGAAAGCCCACAAAGTGACCCAGGCCACCATGGGGACAGATCTGCCCGGAGAGGAGGGGCAGCTCCTTCCCAGGCCAGGCAGGCCCCAGGGCCAGCTGCCCACGGTCACGTGTCCACCTGCAGTTTCTGTTTGGTCCCCAGCTGGGCCCCACCTGGGTAGTCAGGCTGATCCCAGCCACCCAGGGGCCCAGGCTATAAAGAAACGGCTGCCTGCAGGGCCCCCAGGAGGACCTTTGCCCCCCAGGCGGGGTCTGCCCAGGCCCCCTGCCATCTCTCTGTGGTTCCAAAGTCCACTGGGCCCCACCTGGGGACGAGGCACAGGGTGGGGTGGACCCCAGGAACCAGGACGCTCAGGCGATACCCAGCCCCAGCCAGTCTGAAGGAAGTCAGGAAAACCCCACAAACAACCCGAATGTCTGGGGTAAGGAGTCCTGAGCCACAGAGAACAGGACCGCACATGCGCTGGAAGGACACTGGGGAAGATGGGATTTGCTTGATTTTTGAGACAGGGTCTAGCAGTGTTTCTGTTTTTATTTTTTGGCGGTACTGGAGTCTGAACTCAGCAAGCATGCTTGCTAGGCAGGTGCTCTACCACTTGAGCCACTCTGCCAGCCCCAGGTCTGTCTGTGTGTGTTCAATGCCCAGACTGGCCTCGAACTCGCCATTCTCCCCCTCTGCCTCGCAAGGGCTGGGCTCACAAGTGGAACGCAGTGGGGAAATTGTTTTCAAAGGCACATTTTCCCCCTGGCTTACACTGTTTACAGGAAATCAAAGTGTGTTTTCCTCTAATGTCAAAGACGGGTTTGTGAATGCTCAGAAAACCTAGAAGAAGTTGGATTTGACTGGCCCTCCCACTCTGGGCAGAGGCCTGTGCTTTCAGG